AAAATAATTGAAACTATTAAAAAATATAAATTGGCCATATTATGATTCTTTGAACGTAACGAGTTTTAATCCAGATTTTGAAAACGAAAATGCTCTTAAAACATAAAAAAATTTAAGTTTAATAAATACTTCTGTAATTAATTGCAGTTTCATTATGACAATCGTCCATGTAGTTTTTGCGCAGTGTGGGTTCTTCACGCATAACAAGACAAAAGTTTCTTTATAACAAACTGGCACAATTTAGAATTTTTCTGTTTTACAGAGTAATATTTGTATGTAAGAATGAGCCAGTACTTCTAAAAATTTATTTAAAAAAAAAGGCCTTAAAATTAAAAAATAGCCCAAAAATCTAGAATAAAAAAATAATCTCGTAAAATTAAAAATAGCCCAAAATCTCAAAAGGTGCCCTAATATAGCAAAATATTCCTAAAATGCAAATGCATAGCTGCCAACTTGAACGGCCATTGAAAAGTAATTTTCTTAGCGGTAGCAACATAAACGTTTTGATGTAATTAATCTTGAATTTAAAAGTTTCAAAACAAACTTTTTAACCTATCACAACAAATCAGTAATTTAAAAATATGCATATAGGATCTAATAGTCAGCTAAATTTGCTTTTAAATAATACAATTAGTCGGAAGTTTTTCCAAATTTAGTTTCTGTTGTCTATCATTATTTTTCATTTTGTAAAATCTTTTTCAACGAACGTACAAGTTGGCAGGCATGCAAATGTTATCCAAATCCAGGTCTAAACTGAAGAGCTCAGGGAAAGAAGTGACACTTTCAGGATGACTACGATCGGGGTATGAAGAGCCGTAGTGGCTCAGGGGATAGAGCTTTATCCAATAAAGTGAACCGGGTTCAAATCCCAGCGATCGCTGATCGATACGAATTCCGCACCCAGCTCGTACCGACCACGGTGCTGACGATAAATATCCTCAAAGGTAGACGGATCATGGGTTAGAGTCCCCTTAGCGTCGGACTAACTGTGTGAGGTTTTCCTCTTTATGTAACGTAAATGCCGATTAGTTCCTTCAAAAAGTCCTCCGCGAAGGCAAATTTATCCCAATACTTGATCCAGAAGTTCCCTTGTCTTCTAGATTGGGTTCAAAATGACAAGCTACGGAGTTGAAAATTGGTAGTCGTAAACTCAAAATTGGCTCGGCTGTTCAACGACGATTATAAATTAATATAAAACCTATGCTTGTGGGCCGTGGTGGCTCAGGAGATCGAACATTAGTGCCCAAAATGAAGTGACCCAGGTTTTATTTCCAGTGGAGGTTTGAACGAATTCTGCTTTCGGCTCGCACCCACCACTGTGCTGACGTAAAATATTCTCAGTTGTAGACAGATCATGGGTTTCAATCCTCTTTCCATGGGGCTAACCGTGGGAAGTTTTCGTGGCTTTCCTCTCCATGTAACACAAAAGTGAGTTAGTTCTATCAAAAAATTCTCCAAGAAGGCTAGTTTGCCCCGATGCTTGATCTAGGAGTTTCATTGTTTTCTGGGCTAGATTCAAAATTGCAAGGTCCTGGAGACGATTTTCCCTAATGTCGACTCTATTCGCTCCTTTACTCGCTGCGGTTTTATTAAACTACTGTTTCATCACCTTATCTAGTAACCTTCACTGAGAGGCAACCCTATGCTCTCCTCAATGCAGCACTCGCCCAAAATTGTAAACGAGTCTTCGCACTCATGGATATTTTTAAAAGTTGCTTGTTGAATTAAGTGGATTTTATCTTCGTTTAAAACAAGAAAAATTCAAATAACGAGAAAAAGCACTTCGTCCTTCAATAAAGAAAGAGTTAGAAAAATCTGCCGAAATATCGTATAACGACAACACATGCACACAGTAATTTCAGTTAACTACACAAATATTTCAATTAAAATAAATTTTCAAAAATCTGCCGAAATATCGTATTACGACAACACATACACACAGTAATTTCAGTTAACTACACAAATATTTCAGTTAAAATAAATTTTCAAATAGAAACTATTCCTGTAAATTAAATAAAAATTTGGAGTAATAAAATATTTATATCTTCAGAATAATCAATTTTTTTGAATACCTTAATTAAGTTTTAAAAAAATTGCCACCTATATAAATCATCACATTATTAAATGTTCATATCTTTAGCTTTTATTTTAAAAAAAAAGGTATCACAATTTTTTTTGCGCAGTATGAAAAGTAATTCTTTTCATTTCCTTCATTTTTACCGGGTTTTTTCAATTATTTCTATTTCAGAAAAAGTATGTATGTATCTTTCTTCAAAATGCTTACAATATCTTTAAAAAAAACATTACATATATTTTATACTGAACAACTTTTGATTGAAAGTATTTTCTTCATAAAAAAAAATGATGTCTTTAAAAAAATGAGAAAAATTTTCATTAAATTTTTTCAAATATTTTCTAGAAAATGCGTACTATTATGAAAATAAGGGGAAAAAATATTTTTAAATAAAGCCATGACATAAAGAAACAAATTTTTGACATATTCACTATTATTTTCGTATAGTTAATTTATCTTTAACATCAAATCATATTTATTGAAACTTAAAATAGTGGCTGCTGAACTTTTTTTTAATATATCTTAAATTTGTCACCGAAAATTCCGATATTTTCCTACACTCTTGCTTCTATTACTGTTATTTGTGCATATCTGAAATTATTCACCTGCTTTTTATTTGTTTCCTAATTAATTTTATCATACATTTTGCTATGTACTTATCCTTTCATGTTATGCTTCATTAATTTCATAACTTATCTATCTTGTAACTTTTTATTCATAATTATATAACAACTTTAGCTTATTCGATTCTATAACTCAACAATTGGTCTATTTATTTTACAATTTTTTGTATTCAATTTATTTTATGCAATTTTTTTTATTCAATTTATGCTCTTCTAATAAATATAAATATCCTATGAAAATTATTAAATTTATTGTCACTCTAAAATAAGGTCTTTTTTTTCTCCTTAATACAAAAACACATTTACTAACTGATAACATATTTTAGCACGATCCATCTATTTTAATAAGAATGGTTCAGAGAGAAGCAGGATCAAAAAAAGTGAGATGTGTCTTTTAATTTATATTCTGCTTCAAAGAGGAGACACAGAAAACTTTTTTGTTATTATTTTTGAAGTATTCATTAGTCTTTAAAATTTCAAAAGAATTTTTGAGTTGGTCGAATCATATAATAGTCTCATTTGTAACAACTTGTTTTTTATTTATTTATCTATTTTTTGCACAATAGCTTTTATTGTTGGTAATTTGCTTTAAAAGTTTAAACATTTATTCTTAGATTGTCATGCATTCTGTATGTCTAAAAACTGTATGACCTATTTTTTTTTTTTTTTTGTCCCTTGCAGAATGGTAATAAATTGTTTCTTATTTGGTAATCAAAATCTTACTTTTGCTGTGATAACTGATCGTAACAGTTCAGCTGCGACAATCTCGTACTATTAAGATAGGCAGAAGTGAGTAGTCTTTGTCGATAGATCTCTATTTTAGTATTTTGTCGAAAGCGCTTTTTTTCACGAATTTATATATTACGAATTTATTTGACGATTTTTGATTTATCTCACGAATCTATTTGTTTTATTATTGTTATTAGTTATTCATTGAAAAATGAGTCTCAATCGTGCTGTTACGCTTTAAGATTTTATACTATAGCACATTTCTAATAGGTTTAAAGAATTACATGTCATTTATTTGAATTCAAATTTATTTTAATGACTTAGTATTTACTAAAAAGATGTAATATTTTTTTTTAAAGAAAAGTTGTTACATGGATTTGAATGATTGTTTTGAATTCTTAGAATTTTGTGCATTTGCAATGTACCTAAGTTAGTAGCGATCGAAGAGAGCTTGGTTTGCGAAGCAAACCGTATAAGATTGCGTATCAATTTTCGGGGGTTGGCGAGCATTAGCGAGCAGGGGGCGCAGCCCACTAGTTTACAAAAAAGTGTCAAAGCTAAGTACGATTGTTTGGACGTAAATGTTATTGTCTCAAAAAAGGAAAAAATAATCAATTAAGGTATAAAGCTAACAGCAACAATCTCCACATCATTACACACATACAAAAAGAAAATGCTTAAAACTTATAAATTGTGCAGTTACTTAAATTAAAGGATTTAAAAACTAAACAATAAGGTACAAAAGCCTGCTACATTATTAAATATTGCGGCCACATACTTGGTAAAGACACCGTAAATTATTTGAAATAAATTTATAAAAATAATTACAAAGCTCCTATACTCACAGAAGAGGGAAAAAAATTCAAATATAAAACAAACTAAATCTTTTCGGAAACGAGATAAGAATTCTAAAACAAGTTTAAAATTAAACGGAAACAAAAAACTAAGAAATAAAAAGGTGTTTCAGAAAGTCCGATTATATAAAGAGAATGATAATACACAAAAACTTATGCTTACAGAATAAGATGAATCGGTTGGTGGCCCTTCGGGCCAAATACCGAGCTCCCACTAATACCAAGCACCAAAAACTTATGAAATAGCTAAGTTTATTCGCACCTCATGTTCACTCATGCGTTTTTTAAATCGTATGTTCCAAGTGAAACATGCGCGAAATAGTGTTCGAAGATTTTCGCGAGAAAATGTGAGACCCGACTTGGCGAATTTCAAAATACGGTGCCAAAGAAGTGCCCGGGAGTAGATAATGTGGAAAGTCGCTTCACTGTTTATAAAATTGAATAAAACTGATGCCTGTGTTGCAAACATTAAATTTTGAATGATCTGTTATGCAGAAGAAAACAATTTTTATAGTTTTCTCTGTTAGCAGCGTTGTTCGTTGTCATGCTTTATAACTAATTTGAAATTTGGTAATTAAAAAAAAAACTAGTTTCCTAAAAAGAACGCAGCGAACTGTACATTTCTCTCTCTATCCGTTTATTTTTAAGGGATCGATGTATTTCTTGTTATATTTTGTAAGCACGTGTGTTATTTTATAATTTTTACCTTTCTTTTTCTAGTATTAAAAGACGCCCTCGCTAAATCGGGTGCCCTTGGAGAAATAAGAGCCAAAATACGTGCTGAAGTATTTAACATCCTGCAAGATGAAAGTGAACCTCCCAATCCTGTTTCCAATGAAAATATTCTTATTAATGAGTTAATTCGAGAATACTTAATATTCAATGGATACTTATTTACAGAATCAGTGTTAGTTGCAGGTGATATATTTTTTAGTATGCTCTGTTTTTTAGAAGATCATGTCTTAACTTCAATATGCCAATAACATTACTAACTTTTTATGCTTTTTGAAGAATTTCAAACTTAAGCGGCTACACTGGATAGATATGTTTTGAGCACTATGACAAGTTAGTGACTATGAATTTTTTATATAAGTCTTTAGGATGTTAAAGTGACTTTTACAAAAATATTTTAGTTTTAATGCAAAATCTACATAAGTTACGTGACCTGTGTAAAGGTCAGAACAACGAAACAATTTAAAATATTTATTCTTACTAAAATCTAACACTTCTCAACAGAATTTTGTTTTACTTTCAAAAAGTGATATAATATCGACTTGACATGGGTTAATTTATTCTAAAGGTATAAATTGCATTGATAAATTAAATATTGGATGCGTATTGTAAATTAATAAAAATTCTGGCTATTTAAAAAAAGAAAAAAAAAATTGTAAATAATTTAAATGTTAAATATTCTCATTTCAAAACATTTATGTGAGTTCTAAGTTGAGATTTATCTAAAATTTTAAAATACATGAAATTGAGGGGAAAAAAAAACAACTTCGTATTAAGTTCTTTTTCATACATACTTCGTATAAAGTTCAAAATGCAGAATTGATTGTTGTTAGAAATTAAATAAAAAGGCAAGATCGTAAATTAAACATTTTGTGTTCTTTTTTACTTTTATAGAGTTTTAAACTTTTGTAAAGTGTTCTGTAAATACTACTCTTAAAATATATTCTACGAATCTTTTTAAAAAACTTTATGCAATAAGGGTTGCATTTGTAAGCGAAAAAGAAACAAACACGTGTACTTTATATATTTCTCGAATCACTTACGAGGAGAGAGTGAAGAAGAAAATTGTTTGATATCTTGACGAAACCAGGAGTTGTTTCTAAAAATCCCCTTTCACCTCTTGTTTTTCTCGGGCAATCAAACCGGTTTTAATGTTATCAGTTCTGCCTTCCTCAGAAGTGATTTCGATAGCGTTTTTTTTCTTCTCTCGATTAAATATTTATTGGCGGTCCCTTATGTACATACTTCTTTTAATAAGGATTCTGAAAATATACATTAAGGGCTATCATTACGAAAGACCCTAGGTAATGAGTAGAGATGCCAAATTTAGGACTGCAACTATACAGGAAATGGAAGAGAAAAAAACTGATAATAAACATATTTTATTTATGTATTTTCGAGAGGAATAAAGTATTTCCTATTACCATACTATTTTTCACACATATTTTAAAGTGCGCAAAATAAAAAAAGTTAACAGTCCGAATAACTTTTGATTTTATGATCGGATTTTAACATATTAGGACTCAATCTTAATGGTTTGAGAGCCTAACCTTAAATATGGTAATTAATGAGAGTAGACGATATTTTAAGTTATGAAATCAGACACGAAAAAGTACTTTCTCTAAATAACTTTTTTTCGACGGATTCTCGATCCTCAGAAAATGGAAAAGAAGCCGTTATCAGGAAGCTATGGTCCCAATAGTTTTTTAGGACAGCGGTAGATAGTTTAGACCCGTTAATGTTAATTTTTGCGGGTTTCACCATATCTCGTGAACTTTTTAAAAGCGAATCGAAGAATTTTTACAACCAATAATAAAATTCGTTTATCCATAGATAATTTATTCAAAAAATAAATTTTAATAAATATTTATTATTTTATTTATAATCGTCGAAAAATTTTTGAATGGTAAGGTATACAATTTGGTACATAATTTTCAAGCATGTAATTTTACATGTCAAAATACAATATTTGAGCGAAATCGGTTGAATAGTCCTGAGAAATAGAATTTTAACTTTACGACTTTTTTAAAATTTGATTTCTCAGCAACTATTCAACCGAATTCGCTCAAATTTTGTATTTTGCCAATGCAAAAATACAGACTTTAAAATGATGTACAATTCAAATTGTTTCCGACTATTATAAATAAAAATTTATAAACGAATTTTATAATTGTGGGCAAAATTTTTTAAAATTACTTAAATAGTACTCGAAGACCAAACTATGGGGACCATATTGTCTACATTTCAGCCACTCCCTATATTTTGGGGTAAGAAATCCACATTCGTAGAAAAAAAGGTATGCTTATTCAGAGAAGGTGCATTTTTGTGTCTGATTTAGTAACTTAAAGTATCATCTGCCTGCACTAATTAATAAGTATAATTGAGGTCAACCTCTGGAACCATTAAGATTGAGTCCTGGAAGGTAAAGATCCGATCATTAGATCAAAAGTTATACTGTACATATGAAATCTTTTACTATCGAAATTATTGAAAAATTAGAATGAAAGTTATTACTATTAAAGCCTTTACTATTCTCGGTTACAAAAAAACTGTCCATATCTACATACTTTCTTCTGAAAAATAAATTGAGCCTAAATCATCTTATTCCTCTTGCTACAATTTTTTTACTTTTAATAAAACTTTAAAGTGTGTAAAAATATATTTTTACACTTATTGTTTCTTTTTTCCTTATTATTCATGAAAGTTTTCACATTTGTTTATTAAATAACTATTCCTTTGATCATCTTGTTACCATTCATCTGTTTTTCTTTTTCAGAATCCGGACATCCAAATTTTCCTCTACAAAGACAGTTACTGGAAGAAAGATTAAAAGTTAAAGTTGTAGATAATTCCAGCAATATGTAAGATATCTAAAATGAAAAAAGGCATTAGTAGTATCTTTTCTTTGTTGATTATCGTAGATGTGTTCAGCATTGTTATTGTTGTAGTATAGTAAAAAGACAAATAATATCTTATGTATCTTATATGTTTAATATCTTTAAAATAATATATATTGGATTAATTACACTGGGGAACAAATTTTTTGTTGCATTTATATAAATACTTGATCATGCCTAATTCAAAAGGGGAGATTTCACACCTGAAATTAGTTTTGCTCCTAAAGCTACAGATTTTTAAAAAAAAATGATATCAGTGGTCCGTTTTTTAGCGGTTTGTATCGATTTTTTAACATTTCCATTCATGGGCTCCAATACAATTTTAATCCTGATGTGTCCTAACTACCCTGGAAGTTTGTAGCAACATTTATGCGAATCCCTGTTATAGATAACGTTTTTAAATTTGTACATTTCTACAAAAAAAAACCCTTCGAAAACCGTTGAAAAACGTAACGCAACAGAAAACAAAGAAAAAAATTTTTTACCAGCGTTATCATCATTAGTATATTTAATGCAACAAATTAACTTTTAAATGTTTTATTCAAAATAAGGTAATGATTTTAGTACAGTGAGAGTACAAATAATATCTAATGTATTGATCTTTAAAATCATATATAAATAATATCAAAATATGTACATCTATTACACATAAACATGTAATTATTTTATTATAAATTTTTGACCTTATTCATAGTAAATTGATATATTTTATTAAAAACCAGCTAAATAAAATAGCATACATAAGCAAAGCCGGATTTACGTATAAGCTAAATAAGCTGTAGCTTGGGGCCCCGAGATGACAAGGGACCCCAGATCCTACTTTCCCCACTCTTTCTTTAAGGTTTTATTCGGAGCTGGGGCCCTCAGAAGCCCAAAATGCATTTTTTTTTCTTTTTTACATTGTCGGACATAATAAATATAAATAAATGACTGAATAAAACAAAAAACTTTGTAGTCATTAGTAGGGACATATCATCTTTCAAGCAATTTGAGTATTAATAAATTATTTATAAATAAAAAATTTTTTAGTTTAAAAGGTAAAAAAATTTTTTTTTTTGCCTCATCATTCGATCATCAGACTATTTAATATCTGTTCCTAAGGATCTGAATTCCCTTTTATTTTACTTTAAAATTGTACAAATGATATATTTAATGCTTTCATGTGATATACAGCAGTTTTAAATAGCACTTTAAAATATCTAAAAAAGGACAGAAATTGTCAGTTTAAAAAAAAAAAAATTAACTAATACTTTTGAATAAGAATTTAGATAACAACACACGTTTGTTTTGCTATCACATTCTATATAGCATTATTTAGAGTAGACAGTTGCGTGTGGGTGTGATGATGACGTAATAAAAGAGGCATACAAAAAAAGCAAATTTCATTTCAGTTAAAATCCTCAATATTATATTTCTAAACTCCTTGAAAATGTAGTAAAAGAGGTATACAAATTAACTGTCCCAAACAAATTAATATTAAGTAAGAACGAAACAAAAATGATATCGAAATATGCTGAATCACTAATGAGACCGGGATGAAAGACATCGAAAGCTATTTGATTGAATAGTATAACTAGAAGGTGTTTCTAAAATTCTGAAATCTATCAGGCTTAATATTTTTTCTGTCACAAACTTTATCAGTAATAAAAAATAATAAATTCGTTAGATTTCAATATTGGTTCTGTTTTTTCGTTGATTAAATCTTAAACATTAACAGATATTTGTCTTTTAAAACATTTTATTCTATAATAAGATAATTATTCTACAATTGTAATTATCTAAAACTAATTGCTAATTGATATGAAGCTTTAGTGTGTTCCATTGATATGTTGAATTCTCGTTTTGGCAGGATGCCCGGGACAGTTGCTCTTTCACACCCTAGCCACTATACACCATCAAGAGCAGAGCTGATACTTTAAACCCGTATGACATTTATTCTCTCTGATATTTAATAGACCCTTTAGTAAATCCTTAAAAATAAAAGCCAAAAATTTATGTAAATAATGACAATTTTTTTTCTTGCACTAAAATTTAACAAATGTACTTTAAACAAAAATAATGAAGAAATATTTTCAATATAAACATCAATTAAATAATATCAGCTTACGAAAGGTTCTTTTTATTTTTGCAAACAGTATTAATATAATGGCCCTCACCTGCTCCAGGGACTGCTAGATTGGGTTCAAAATGACAAGGCCAAGGAGTTTAATTTTAGTAGTTGTAAACTTGAAATTGGGTCGGCTATGCAATGACTGTTATAAAATAAACTAATCAATTTGGCCGGGATAGCCTGGTTGATAGGGCGTTGGACTCGTGTTCGTGAGAATGGGAGTTTGAATCCAGCCGGCAGAAGAATACCCATGTATAAAATGGTGACTGGTGCATGTTAAATCTGTCGGGGTCGCAAAGTCCTCCAAGTTCTCATAACAAATAAATACCTCTGGGTTCTAATTTAGCAGTTCCCTTGTCTTCTGGATTGGGTTCAAAATTACAAGGCCACGGAGTTGAATATTAGTAGTCTTAATTTCGAAATCGGGTCGATTGTGCAATGACTGTTATAAAATAAACTAATAAATTTGGCCGGGATAGCCTGGTTGAAGAATTTAAGTGGTGNGAATGAAAGTTATAACTATTAAGCCTTTACTATTCTCGGTTACAAAAAAACTGTCTATATCTACATATTTACTTCAAAAAAAGAAATTGCTGCCTAAATCATCTTATTCCTCTTGCTACAATTTGTTTACTTTTAATAAAACTTCAAAGTGTTTAAAAATATATTTTTACACTTATTGTTTCTTTTTTCCTTTTTATTCATGAAAGTTTCCACATTTGTTTATTAAATACCATTCATCTGTTTTTCTTTTTCAGAATCCGGACATCCAAATTTTCCTCTACAAAGACAGTTACTGGAAGAAAGATTAAAAGTTAAAGTTGTAGATAATTCCAGCAATATGTAAGATTTCTAAAATAAAAAAAGTCATTAGTAGTATATTTTCTTTGTTGATTATCATAGAGATGTGTTCAGCATTGTTATTGCTGTAGTTGTAATATAGTGAAAAGACAAATAATATCTTATGTATTGATTCTTTAAAATAATATTGCATTGATTACACTGGGGAACAAATTTTTTGTTGCATTTATACAAATACTTGATCATGCCTAACTCGAGTGTGCAAATTTCACACCTGAAATTAGTTTTGCTCCTAAAGTTACAGATTTATTTTTAAAAATATATATTCTTAGTTTGTTTTTTAGTGGCCTGTATCTATTTTTTAACATTTCCATTCTTGGGTTCCTGTATAATTTTAATCCTGATGTGTCCTAACTACCCTGGAAGTTTGTCACAACATTTATGTGAACCCCTGTTATAGATAACGTTTTTAAATTTGTACATTTCTACAAAAAAAAAAAAAAAAAAAACATCCAGAGACCGTTAAAAAACCAAACGCAACAAAAAACAAAGAAAATTTTTTTTACCAGTGTTATCATGAATAGAATATTTAATGCAAAAAGTTAACTTTTACATTTTCAATGTTTTATTCAAAATAAGGTAATAATTTAAGTACAGTGGTTGTAGTACAGTGAGAGTATAAATAATATCTAATGTATTGATCTTTAAAATGATATATAAATAATATCAAAATAAGTACATCTATTACACGTAAACATGTAATTATTTTACTGTAAATTTTTGACCTATTATAATATTATGTTATGTTATTTTATAAAATTATGTTTATACACCTATAACACTATTTTAATAATTTTAAAAACATTCTATGTTTAAATATTGTTCAAGAGGTAGGGGAATCAAAATTTTTTCTTTCTTTCCAAAGTGGTATTGCCTATTAGGAACCACTTCGTAAATTGTCATATTATTTTTCAGTTGTTATAGTCAATATTTTCCATGATAGTAAAATTATTATAAAATTATGTATATTTTATTACGCTTCATAATATATATGCATAAAATAAAAGTAAATTATAAGGAGAATAAAAAATTGTATATAAAGAAAAAATTGTAAGGGTTTGTACTATTTTTTTTCCTAAAATTCTTGAGTTGGGAGATGTTATGTATTTCTGCCTGACCAGAAGAGGGCGTTGTAATCACTCACAATAATTCAGTATTCCTTATTTCCTTCTTTTCTTTATGCACCTCATACTTTTATTTTTTTAGTTCTTACGTCCACATTTTTGAAAATAATTAGTATTTTACACATTTTACAATAGTTTTTTGAAAACTTAAATGTAATTTTTATGACCGCAAATTAATTTTTAAAATAATTAATTTGAAGCATATGAAACATTTTATAACTAATTAATTAAAATTATTTAGCTACCCTATTTTGATAATATGTAACTAAAAAGTGCCTGTATTTATATATTTATAGAGATACAGAAATGTATACATTTTTTTTTACAGGCCACTGCTGTATGAACTTGTATCTCAGTTTGTAAACCAACCTAAATCAGAGCAAGAAAATCCTCAAAGTGAAGAATTGAGGTCAAGTCCTTAAAATATTTTGTTATAATCTTATGTATTTAATTATGTTTTACTTAAATAAACAATTTTTTCAAGTTAATCAAGGATGCAAGAATTTTTTATGTTTTTTTTTTTTTTTGTTGAAATTTTTAGTAGAAATTGAAGGATTTTTAGCAAAAGAGAAGAGCAGAGAAAAAATCAAGAAATCAAGTTGTAAAGAATTAGCTGTAATTTTTTAATCAATGTCTATTTTTGTTAATTAGAACTTAGGATAGATTAGACTTCCTTACGTTTCCATTTTAGTTCACATCTCTAAGAGTCAATTATACTAAAAACTTTTAAAAAAAGAAAAATCAATTTTTATGTATTTTATTTTATTTAATTCAATAATCTGCATATTGAGAGCTTAAAATTCGTATAAATAAGTAAAACTTTTATAAGAAGATACAATAAAGCACATTTTTTACTAATGTATATGATTACAAATAAAATTGAGTAAGCACTAATTATAGTATGATACGGTTAATTATTCATCCCATAATTAAAGAATAATTCTGCAAAAAATTATCTAAAATATTATTTACATGCTTAAATTTTAATTTTTTAGATGGGAGCTACCCAATACCTTGAAAAATATTCAATATATAGACTTAAAAATATAGTTATAAAGACTATAAAATTCTATATTAAATTAAAATATATATGTAAGTATTTATTTTAAAAAATGTGAAAAATTCTACTATCTTATGCTATATTAAATTTTATTTATTTTTACTTAAATTTGAGATATTCATTAAATAGTTATTGTTCCGGTTAAGAATTTTGTAAAATAGAAAAAAAAAAATGCTTCCTAAAACTTCTACTGGCACAGAAAAACTTGGAACTTGAGTTCAAAACAGTTGAAATATTACTCAATTTAGTTATTCTAGCACGATTTAAGCTAGCACTCCTAAAAGAGAAACCACCCATACATGCTCTAATATAGCAATCATACATCTTTATCTTTTTGGCTTATCAGATATTTCCAGCATAAATTGTAAAAAAATTATGAAAAAAGGAATAAACCAAATACACTAAAAAAAACAACAAAAAAAAAAACACTGATCTCGACGAATGTTAGTTGCTGCATGCACGGTCTGCCAATTCATACATTCGATTAGAAAAAAATTTGCAGAAATTCGTTCTCCAAAGATTAGATACAAAAGCAGGAGAGTTAAGCTAAAAGTTGACATGCCTGAGATTTTTATTATTTGTTAGTTAACAGTCATAAGTTCTTATTTCTAAATAATATTAAATCTTTGAATAGTAAAAAGTATTAATTATTACAAGCCAAACCTTTGTTCTAAATTTTGGCCTTGATATTGATATTTTGTATTTCTTCACTTAGCTATTCTTTTGCATGCTGCAGAACTAAAAAGATTTAACCACATTTTAACTAATTGTGCAGGAAAGACATGCCACACACATCAAGGTGCCAGTGTAAAAATTACCAACAACGTGTTGTACATATCAGAAAGAAATTATCACAGAAATAAAAAAAAAATTCTAATTTCTATGAGGCATTGAACACTTAATGTTTCTCTGTGAGTTTTAATCGAAAATTTTATAAGACAATCAATTGAAGAGACAGAATTTAAAGCTAGGTGCAAGAAGAAATCACAAATAAGCAAAGACCTCATACTTAATTTTTGGGAGTCATTCCACATTCTAAAAGTTTAGTTAATGATTTTTCTTCTAGTATCTTCTTACCGTGTTTCCAATATTTTGAAGTCTCTTTTTATTTTATCGGTTACACCTTGAGATTCCTACCAAATACACTCCCACCTGAAGCTCTAATTCTCCTCTTTTTAGATATCTTGTTCAAACTTCTTTTTCTGTTACTATTGCTTTTGGTTAAATTACTTTGCATGTGCTTGTCTCTCTACTTCTCTTCCATTATTTGGTGTTTAGGCACTGAGGACGGTTCTTGTTAATAGAACCAAAACTTTAGTATGTCATTCACTGTACTTTCTTGTGCGGTTCATTCATGTTTTTTTTTTTTTCCTTTCTTTTTCTTGCTTGATTCAAAAATTTAAGAAGAAAAAATAACTAATGAGGAAACAAAAAATTTTATTTCAACAAAATAAGAATAAAAAACCATACTCTTTACAGAAATAAAAAAATTAACAGAATTAAGAGTACTGAGTGGATAATTTATAAATGAATAAAAAACTATTTGTTCAGCATTTATGTCAAACACAACATTTGATTGAACATTGAAACTTCTGAGAAAAGTAACGTATTAGAAAAGTTGTTTACCCATTGCATTTTCTAAAAATTAAAACAAAGTAATATGATCATTGCATCAATTTGAAAGGAAACTAATTTGTTTTCCGTTTAATTTTATAAGCAACTGCTTGTTGCAGCTTAAAAATCTAATATACATCCTAAACAGCTTAGACTAAATGTTTCAGATGTGTAAGAATTTTTTTATTATCATTGACCACTCATATGCATTTAATTTAACAGAATTTACTTTAAAATACTATTATTTAAGCCTTCTATAACTAAACTTAATCAATAATAATCTTAATCATACTCATAAACTAAAAATTGGAAACATATATGTTTTTATATTTTATTGTTTGATGTTCACTTTACAGTTTTTGTTGTTGTCCTTAAAAATAAAATTTACGAATGAATCGGTATGCAACCATACTTTGAAACAAGTACTTTACTTTAGCCAGATCAGGCTATTAAACAAAATCCCAATAAGGACATTACATATAAAACAATTGTAAAATTATTTGCTGATGACTTATCAAAAACTAAATTATGAAATTAACTATAATGAGTATTGTAAGCTTCAGATGGTTTATATTGAAAAATATAAAATAATAATAACAATAAGCAGTTAGAAAATATTTATTTTTAAAATATGCAACTGAAAGCCAACAACTGCTTTTGAACCAAAATAAATTGTATCTTGTTCTAGAATCTACTTATAAGAAGGAAAAAAATTAATAAAAGAAAAATATTTCTAACTTGAGCACATATTTTAAGAAACATAAATGGTTAATAATGTATTACAACAATGATTATTACTTTTCTTAATAAATTGAAATTTATATATAAATATTTCTGAACATTTTCAAAAATTATAAGTCAATATTAAAAGTAATCACAGTAAAATATACACTTTATTTGAATTGTTCGGAAAATTAACTGTATTAGCAGATATCCACTATAGAAAATCATTAAATTTCTTTATAGCATACTTAAAAATGCTAAAATATAACAAGTTTTTTTTTTAAAAAAAAAACCAGATTATGCCGTTTTTTCCTATAAGGGCAGAACATAATTGCTGAAAACCACATAGGTAAAAAGAAATACTTATTAGACAAGAGAAAAGTGACAGTCATGTAAATAAATAAAATTTAAAAAAACAACAACTCTAAAATGGTCCAAGCTCATATAAGCTCTGTGGCATTTTGGTAGTTTATTTCCAGATTTTTGCTTTATAATATAAGATTTTTAACTATTTCTTAGTCAATCAATTAATTTTTTAGAGTTATCAAAATTCAAGAATCAGTAATTTAAATTAATTGATAGTAGGTAATCAGTAAATTTAAATTATAACTAAATATTTTTTACATATTATCTTTGAGAATTACACTCTGGAAATTCATCCGCATCAGAAGTTTTCTCTCTTTTTATCTTAAGAGAAGACCGTTTCTTTTTCTTTGATTTCTTCGACTCTACAGATGAATTGGGATTATCTAATGCTTGAATAGAAAAGGAGTTTTCAAAACCTTCACATAATGCAGACGAACTAAAATTAAGATCATTAGCACTTGTATTATCCACCTCAATTTTCACTTCCGAATTTTCGATAATTATATCCTCATTGAAGAATACTGATCCTGCGAATCCCTTTTTAACACTTCGCAATTTTCCATCAGATTTTTGAGGTAAAATTATACTTAATTTAGTTTGTTCAACAGGGTCAGAAATATATTCAAATCTAGAATTTTCATCACATTCTAATATGTGTTGATCACCATCCAAAATAATCTTTTGGTTTTCAATAGCTGTGGGATTTAAATCGCTGGGAACTCTTATCAACCATATCTCAGAGTCTTCATCTAAATCTTCGTAAAAAAGTTGAGGCGTAATGGACTCTTTTACGTAACCATTTGGGCACTGAAAATCGGAACTATTGCTAGACATACTTAAATATTGATATTAACTTTAAATATATTCAAAGTTGAAAATTGTGAAATGCAGAGATATCAAAAGCAAATACGAGCATGCTTATTTTATTTACTGTTTTCTTTTATCACAACGGTTTCCGCTTGCCTATTTCTTTGTGTCTTATATATCCAATGCAATTGTTTCAGTTTTTTGACTTTTTTAAATAAAGCCAGGTTAAGATCCTTAATCCCTCGGTTACTGAATAAAAATTTGTACAGTTTGTACAAATTATTTTAAAGTAGCAAAGCAAGGTCGAAGAAGAAATCTAAAATCCAAATTAATACTTCTGAAACTTTGTGGAAATCGCTGTTTTAAACTAATTATATTTATAAATTTCTTCTTTGCGTAATCATCGACTAGGTTTGTATGTTAATTAACATGGACACAGTGTTCTAGTTTTCACTCTAATATGTGTAAATTAGTTACTTATTTTATGCCAAGTTTATAACTAGACTAGGTGCCTGTAAAAATATATCCTGTGTAAAAAAAATTATTTTTGAGACTTTTTCTTATTGCATGGATTATTTAAGTTAAAGAATATACTGATGTATCATTTTACATGTTTATTAAGTTGTCGAAAATAATTCTAACCGCTTCGGCTGTAAAATCAGTTCCCTGAAAAATCATCTAATTGTTTGTGAACACCAGTGTTTATGATGTTATTTCGATTAAAAAAAATTATCTGAAAAGCCTGTTTTAGGATCTTTAATCTAATAATGATATTTATTTCAAAAATTATTAAGTTAACTTGCTATTGTAAACAATACTTAAAAACTATTAAGTGACCTTTTTATCAAAAAATGCCCAGAGTCGTTTCATTTTGTTAAAAAGCGAAAGATTGAAAAATAGTAAAAGATAAAAAAGGTTTTGTTAATAGTAATTTGAAAACGATGTGCAAATTCGTAGATAGCTTAGAAATGCATCTTTCCACCTTGTTTAAAGACATTATTTATTAAATGAACAGATTTATTTTCAAAATAATTTTATAATAAGGCAACAGTTTATAGGTTGTGTAAAATTTGCTTAATTATTTAGGTTAATTAAAATTTAAGTTATGGTTCTAAATACTTTTTATTGCTTTTAATATATTTACTACTGCACCCCGTGGCAGAATCACGACAACATTTTCTCAGCGCCTTACAGAGTTCTTGAAGAAAGATTTTTCCTTTAGTTTTAAAATTTTTTTATTCTTTTCTGCAGAAATTTTTGAAAGAAGTTTTTTACACCCTAGAATTGTATATTAAAGATATCTTTCGCACACTTTACAAGGGAAGGAAATGCTCATGATTTTCTATTCTCATTTGGAATAACGAAAAATAAAGAATAATGAAGTTAATAAAATGGTTTTCTTTTCTGTGGAAAGTTTCGAAAGATTATTTTTTCGCCAGAATTATGTTCAAAGAAATACTCATGATTTTTCTATTCTCATTTGAGTATAATGAAGTAAAAAATTTTGGTTTTGTTTTCTGCATGTATATTTGTAATTATTAATTAATTATGTATATTTGTAATTATCAAATTCTGCCCGAGGCTATCGCAATTAAGTAGTAATTGTGCTTCCAAAGAACATAAATGTATTTGAAGACAATGATTAATTTTTTTTTCAAAAATTATAACTTAATTTTTTTGTGGAAAATTAATTACTTGATTTGTTGCAACTTCAAAGTAAAATATTCAAGCTAATGTGGGAATTCAGTAAATATTTTTAAGTAAAATAAGTATGAAAAATATAATATTATAGATGATGTAAAAAAATATTTGTTGACATGTTTTGGAGAAATTGAAATACTTTTCATATCAATTTTCAAATTGATAAAATGAAGGTGACTTAATCAATAAGTTATCAATTAAAAGAATATTTCCAATTGGCTCCATACATAGACATAATTAAAGAAATAACAAGGTTTTCAAATAATTCAAGGAGGCCAAATATGAATTTTGTAATTTATCAATAATCCTTATGTTCTTTTAGCAGAAACTTGATGTAGTGTTTTGTAATTTTAATGTAAAAGAGTATGTACTTATGGAAAAATTCTGTTTATGGCTTAATCATCATTCTGCTTTAAAATTAAATAATTTATTTCTGCTGTAAATAAGATTATTTATAGTGAAAATTAATTTTAAATTGAATCTTTTACAATTTCAATTTTAAAATTTGTTGCAGTTTTTTTTTCGATACTGGAAAAAGGTATTTTATTGTTATTCATTTATCGCTATGTAAGGTTGCATTAGAAAAAAAATTGATTTCAACCTTAATTTAAATTTACTTTCTAGAAATGTCAGCCTCAGCTGAAATGAAGAGACTACCAAAACCTCAAATGCGGGGTTTATTGAAAGCATATATTTCAAAGCATTTGGCAATTGCTACAGTTCTTGGATTCGCTGGATCCATGGCATGGAAATTCCTAGTCGCAGATCCTCGAAAACGTGCTTACGCTGAATTTTACAAGTAATGTATAAAATCAATCATAATTTTTTTCAGTTACTGTTAAAGGGAAAGGCAAATTTTTAGTAAATAAATTTTTTTTAATCTTTTGTATTTTAGTTTTTCAAGTTTTCTGGCCTAACCTAGTTAGATTTGTCTTTTCATATTTTTCAGTTTTATTTTAATTTCACCTTACAAATAATATGTTTACCAAGCAAATAATCTGTTTAAAATTTGTAATTCTGGTCTTCAGAAAAGTTTTTTTTAAATTTATTATTTTTTCATGCAATTAAGAGCATAGCAAATAGCAACATACTGAAAATTGATTTTAGCCAAATATTAAGCAGTTCTTCTACTAAGTGCAACTAAGTAGTAAGCAAATTGCATGCTCATCTTACCAACATTGAATCAGTATTAAATCTTGATTTTTTAAATTTTTCCCCGAAATTAACATCAATAAATTTTAAGTAATCAATCTTGAACTTTGTAGTGAATATTTTATATTTTAGGCAAACAAAAATAAGTAACTTTTAAAACATTTTTAAATCGTGATTCATCATTCATTTGAAGGATATTTTAAAAATAAAATATCAGCAGCTTTTATGATTGCCTTATTAAACAAGTCGGTTCTTTTTAAAAAAATTACTATTTAGATTAATTCAAATTGATTGAATAATTCAAGTACTTGTTAATTACAAAACAAATAATCGATATTCAGTGCTGTTGTGTAAAACGTTTCTTAAATTATCAATTTTAAATGTGCATACAACTTTCTATAATTAAATTATTTAATTTCATTTTGATTTCAATTTATTTTGAATTTCTTAATTTTCTTTTAGAACTTATGATGGTGATAAAGATTATGAAAGAATGAAAAATCTAGGAATTCTGCCGCCCTTTCCTCAATTTGAAAAGGAAGAAGAATAATTTACTGTTAGGTTAGTCTCAATGTTGTTTTCTCCCTGTTTAAAGAATATCTTTCTTATTTCTCATCTTATGTCTTTTTCTCATCTTATGTCTTTTTCTTATCTAATGACTAATTCTCACCTATAGCGTATTTTAATTGTATTCATAAGCGTTAACATTTTAGCATCCTTCTACAAAAACTTCTCAAAAATTATTATTCAATCAATAATTTCAAAAGTATATTTAATTAAATAATTGCTTTTAAAAAAATTATGCTGTTTTATATATTAGTATCTTTATTCAAAATATGCTGGCGAAATGTTAAATGTAATAATGTTAAATCTAATGTTATTAATGTAGCTAATGTTCTAAATAATGTGGGGAAAAAATTTTGCTCTAATAATATTCTCTATTATTTATATATGAAATCTACTTTACAGGTTAATTGTATTTTAAAATTTTATTTATATAAAAAAAATAGAAACTTCACAATAAAATAAAAATATCTTAATAATGATACAACATTAAAAAATAATTTGCTATATGCTTAAAAAAAATTGACAAAACATGGTGTTAGAGGTATCTGCTTCCAGGTCATTTTTTCCCCCCATAATAAATGTAATGTCATTAGAAATTCGAATTTATAGATTTAATTTTTTTAATTTATTTTTTTTATCTCTTCTGCTGCATGTTGCACATCTTTTGATTTTTTCTTTATCTGAAACGGTCACAGGGATATTCCTTGTTCTTTCATTTTTCAGTTTTGGATTGTTCAAACTTCTTTTCAATCCTTTTGTACATTATTTACTTGTTTTTTACTTATTCCAATATATTGTCTTAAATCTCAAAACTAAGATTTTAAGTTTTGCTGCACCTATTAAAACTTTTTTTTAATTTTAACATTAACCTTTTCCTATTTAAATCTGTGTTATTTTTATGTATTAAACATGTAAAAATATCACTCAAGTAAAAAACTGCTTAGAAATTTTTACTTTTTCCATGTTGGAATGTTCTTTTGCGAATTAGCAACCCATCACTATTACTGTGTGGTTCAGCCATCTGACCATTTTTTTCCTTACTGATCTCTTATCTTAAATAACACCAAGACCCTGGTAGTAGGCATGTTTTTCTTGCTTCTTATTCATAAACATTTGAATGGGAAAGTTCTTTTGATAGCACTATCAAATCTTTTTTCTAATGCATTCTACCCCCTTCTCTAAAACAGCATTTGTCAAAAGAGACAAGGTAAATAGTAATAATATTAAATAGTATTTCCCTTAATTTAAATTTAACTAACATTACGTTTAACTTACTTTTTTAAACTTATTTTCTATAAACTTTGAATAGTGTCCCTGATTAAGAGGTAAATACATTAAGACTAATATTTAAAGGAACATGGTCAATAGAATTATCCTTTAAGTATAAAGTGTCACTTCAGCAGATATTACTATATCTTTATTTTAAATTAAAATAACAAAAAAAAAAAAGATCAAAATAATATCTGTGTATACAATAGATATTATCAAATAACTTTCTACTATGCTTACTACAAGCTTAAATAATCCTTACCTATATTAAAAAATTTTGAAGTTTCATATTGATTAGATAAAGAATTATTAATTATATAATAAGACTTCATTAATTATAAGACTTACCTTTCTGTGGATATTATGTCTAACCTTTTAGCTGTAGAAGTGAACAGTTGTACAGTGTTCCATTTTTGTCAATTCTGTGCAGCCTTAATGTTGGAGCCATAAAGCCACAAATTAATGCACAATTAAAGGAATGATGGGGCAGGAAAATAATTTCTTTCTTTATATATTTGTTTTAGTGTACATGTTAGTAGTCATCCTGGAGCTTTAATCTACCTTCAGGAGGTTTTTTCTTTAGCTTTGCAATTATATTTGAAATTTTCTTTCATTGCTATTAGAAATAATGTTGTAACCATTATTGTTATGTACCTCTCAGGGCTTGAAAAAACTCAGAAATTTTACCGGCTTGCCCAACAATGTACCCGTCCTCCTTTGAAATTAACCATCTAAATAAGTAAAAAATAATTTTCTCTTATTTATTACAAACATTTATATTATAAATTGCACAATGAATTAGTCGTTACTAGGATTACAAATACTTGGTTCACGTTATACAGTAATAAAAGAAATGCCAGGTTACTAATAGTAACCTAGTATTTCTTTTATGAAATAATTTAAATGACAAAGGTCAAGTTATCTGGAATGTCAATTTATCCAAAAGTACTACGTTTTTTAAATGAATCAAACATGACGTTTGCCAGTTCCACAATCAAGCCAATGATTTAAAGAGGTTTCTGCACAGAAATCTGAAAGGGGTTTTCCATTTAGGTTGATGTTCATAATTGCGTTTAACACTTCTTGTTTAAAACCAGTACGTAATGTGTTTTTTTGTAAGTTCATTGCTGAAAATCCCCTTTCAACCGTTGCAGTACTCCCAGACAGAGAAAACGTCAATTCCACCATGTATGTTGCTGTATTGTGGGTCATTTTGCTGCATTAGGTCTTTATAAATAGCTTGGGTTCGGAGGGCTGAAGTTTTCTGGTGTTTAACGATGTTAAGTATCTAAAAGTTTAATGACATCCATTCTTCAGAAAAATTTTCATTATCTACTCCTTCAAAAAAGCAAATTAAATGTTCAAGTAACATCTGCATGTTTTGATTACCAAAAGATATTAAAAACTGTTTTTCAGATGGCCACTCGGTGAAATCAAATGCACATGCACATAGCACCTTTACTTTTGTTTACCAATTATGTGAGCATGAGCATTTGGTCTGACAAAGGAATTAACGGGATTTCTAGAATAGAGGGTAATTTTAGAAGTGAGGAGCTAGACTCTTGTAAGATAACAAAAATTGAAAATGTATCACGAACATTAACGGGAAAATGGCCGTCGCGCGGACGTCGTATTCGAGAAATTCGTTGCCCGCGTGGAATTTTTTACCGCCACGGACGGGCGGTTTTTCGAGCCCTGGTACCTCTACTTATCCATAACTTGAACATTTTTTGAATTTAAAAGTTAGTAGAATTACTTTGTTATATACGTCCACTATCAGATTTTCTCAAAATCAAAAATTATTCAAGTTACTGTAAAAATTACAATAATCTTATTAATGAAAAGTTCAGTGAATGTAGGATTTTCCATGCATTTTTGGAATTTAATTTTATGCTGTTATTGAATGATTTACTATTATTTCTATCACATTGTCCAAATATTTAACATACAGAAATAAAATAGCATTATTTAGGCTTTTTTTTTAAAAAAAAATTAAATGCAAAATATAAGAGTGATAAAATACCAAAAAAAAAACGGTGATAAAATTTTTTAGATTTTAAGATAAGCTTTTTATTTTTTGTCAAATACATTTATTTAATATAGTCTTAGTTTACAGCATTTGTAAATATGTTATTTAGTGACATAATATTTAAAAAAAATTTGCTTAGTTTAATTTAGAAATTAGAGTAAAACATATATCAGTCTCTCCCAAAACATACAGTATATAATAGTATCTGGAGTATTATGTTTAGATAATAAATAATACAAGTTGTAATTAATTGCTTTTCATGCATGCTATTATTATAACTTATATTTTTCAGCAAATCTATAATTTTGATTTATTATTAAATTCGTTGATAACTGTTAAGTATTGAATTGATGTACACCGCACAATTTTTCTTTTGAATTAGCAATAATAAAAGTTAGTACAATATTTCATGTGTAAATAAAATATGTTTTAATAAAATAAATTTTATAAATAAAAAAACTTTCAGTACCTTTTAATGGTGTTATTTGAAAGTAATATTATAAAAAAAATTAAAATCACTATAAAAACATTTTAATCTAAATTATAATTTTCTTTCAACAGATTTACATCTTTATTCACTGGCACTGCTGTAACCAAGATAAATTATTCTCATTCGTCTGTTTTGTAAAATATGTATTCAGTTATTAAATAAAGTACTGGAATTCCTTACTTAAACTGTTGCTGTAATTAATTTTTTATTGTATTATACACTAATTTTTAATAAAAGTTTAAAGAAGAACAGTGTTTTTACATAGCACAGATCCCTGTGCTACAGACCACAGAGAGCTAGGAATTTCAAACTAATACCCTAAATATAAGTTATAAGTAATTTTTTAGGTTCAAATCTTAAGTTTTTTTTCCTTCAAAAATTACAACTTTTATGACAATATTTAAAGAAGAAAATTTAATCATTCTTTAAATATGGTCTTTAAGATCTATGCAAGAGTTATGAAAGATAAATAAGATTTAATGTACGAGTACTCATGTTATTCACTTATTCTGTAAGTCTCATAATTTACTATTTCATGAGGTTTTTTTTTGGGGGGGGGGGAGATTTATCAATTTATTCATAAATTTAAATAATTCCTACTACTTTTGTCCCTTTAATGGAGGTATTAAATTTTACATATACTAAGATGTTCATCATCTAATGAAAGATTACATTAGTTCAACATATTTTTTCTGCAAAAGAATACTGACACAAGAATAACTACATAAGAATACACCCACATGAATTATAATTATAATATTTTAAGACTAACCCTCCAAGCAAAAAATATTCTATTTACAAAAATAATGTGAATACTTCTCATGCAGAAACAATGTATCATTATGAAACATTCAAGTTTTGGTATTGTTTTAACTTTTTTTTTCCCCCTGAATATAATATTTTGATGTTACAATAAGAATCAAGATGTAATACTTTTTGCAGAAGATTCAGCCTTTATTAATTTATCAAAATTAAAACTTTTGGCATTATTAAATGCCTTTATGCCATATAATAGTGGGACAGTGTCTTAAGCTGTTAATGAAAATATTTAAGGATTGCTTGCTTTAAGGTGTTCCACGAGGAACTATTAGGTTTGATATTCTAAGTTGTTTTTAAAAGGCTCTTGTTTGTTTGAGTTGTTTTTAAAATGCTCTGAGCGTTTTGAAAATCACACCAACACCTTCCAATGTAGTGCCCAAAATGTATGAAACATATGATGGAATTAATATTAATTGCAACAGGGATATCTAAACTAAATCGCTACCTAACTGATTTTTTTGAAAATTTGATAAAAAATATAACTTTAAATATTATTTAAAATATCCAAGTATAATATAATGTTTAAATATTATTTTAAAAGTGTCACCAGCTTAACCTATATATATTTATAAAATTAATTACGATATAAATTTAAGTATGAATTCTTCAGAAAGAGAAAGTTACCTTCTTCAGGAAAAAAAAAATTTTTTTTACTACAAATAAAAAAAATCCATAACTTTCACACTGAGTGGCAGGTATGCATAATATATATATGAACGCGTGAATGCAGCTCTCAGGAAATTTTTCACTATCATGAAAGTTTTATATCTTCAAAATACTGCCAAATTTAAAGAAATATATGCTGACATATAAAATAATTAATACAGAGTTTTATAAAAATGAAAACATTTTTAAAAAAAATCAATGATTTTCAAACAAATTTTGTTTAAATTAGATGACAGCGAATGAGTTGAAGTGCTAGCAACAATCATAAATAAATTGCTGTCAGAAACTTTTTTAGTTTATCTAAGTCTGTTGAGAGTAACCAAAAATCATTAGTAAGTTTAAAAAAAAACGTATAAAAATAAATAATAATTGAGAAATTTACAATTTTTTTGTAATATTTTATTCTTTTTCTTAAAATAGGCTATTCTAAATTTTCATAAAAGAAAATAATAGTTCAAAAAGCTTATAACTAGTATTCAATAGTGACATAAAAAAACTACATCACTATGAATTAACAAAAAATGACTAAAGGTTAAAATAACCTTAATTATATGTGTAATTATGCAACTTAAATATCTAACAAAATGAGATGTCTTCAGTTCCTCCTAGAAAATTTTAATTTTGTAGGATCAGGATATTCTGGATTTTCAATAGAACCTTTTCCAAATTTTAATTCCAAAAATTCTCGATAATTATTAGGTGCAGAAGCTGTAATGCCTACAAATTTTATCGTATAAAATGGCTTTAGATAATGTTCAGGGAATTCCATATCTTGTTTGTGATCTACAAACCAAGTATCTTTAGTCATAGTACCATTTCTTGAATAAAAAGGAAAAAGATCAACATGAAGGTGATTTGTGGCACTAAATTGTACTCTTATAAAATCACCTTCAGTAGCTTTTTCCCATAAAAATCCCTGAGTATCTACAAAAGATTGTTTTTGTGTATTTTTTAACCATTCACACTTTTGAATGTCTTCTTTATACATTCCAATATCAACATCATAATCCCAAGGGATTATATCTCCAGTGCGTACTGCTCCTAACAAACTTCCGCCTTCAAGCCAATATCTAACCCTGCACTTTTCTAATATACCAATTACATAACGTGTGGTTACTCTTAAATTTTCTATACAGCAGGGTGGAGTCCATCTACCTTCATACAAATATTCTGGCATATTATCTACTATAGTACCAAAACAACGAGCAGTCTTTTTATTGCAACCATGCCATTCTACTTTGGATGCTGGAAAAATAATTTTCTTAATGCCAAACTCTTCATATAAGATTTGTTTTCTTTGCATTTCAAGAGTATCATGCTTCATTTTGGAATGTTCATCAGAAAAAAGAGTTTTCCTTTTTTTGAAAGCAAAATCTTTCACAAGTTTAATCTGAAATAAACAATGAAAAAATTAGAAATATAGCATTAAATAGATTTCATCATTAAAAAAAAATCACCTCATGGACAGCTATGATTATGGATTGCTTATGACATAGCTAAATACAGGTGTGTGGAATTAGTGGGTAATAAAAGTAAACTATCAAAGACTATTTTTAGCAGAGAAACTTTCAGCGTTACAGTAAATGCTGGAAATATTGTCTTTTTGCACAAATGAAAGCATGATTTTGGAAGATAAGCCAGATTTTTGGAAAATAGGTATTACAATAAATGATGGAAATGCCATTTTTCCTACACTTTTTTTTTTTTTTTTTTTTTTTTTTTTTTTTTNCTTTTTTTTTTTTTTTTTTGGTCAACAAATACAGAAACTTTGTCTCAACCTCGTTCAGTGTTTAATCATTTAAATAAAGGGCCTATCATCTCTTTTTGTTAGTTACTAATTGACTGGGACATTGTCGAAGAATGCAGGAAGATTTTCATTTCGGTAGTAAAAAGTTTTCTTTACTGCAGAATTTTTCAAAAGATGTTTTTTTTTCTTTTTTCCTGCAAAATTATATTTTAAAAATACCTTCCTCATGCATCGGAAGGGGATGCTGTCTTTCTTTTTTTTAAAGATCATTAAATTTTACATCATAGTAAAATATGTTTGTAAGTGGGGATTTTGTTATGAATTCAGATTTGTGTCATACGAATTAATTAATCATTGTGATACATTTGTTGCTTTTTTTAATTTGGTGAAAATTAAATCAATTCAATATTCTAAAGACGATATTGCGCACATGAGCCTTCTGTCAATTGAGTCTTCCAATCATAAATCACCCTTATTCCATTTTAAATTTAAATAGTGTTTTGATCATTTTTCTGGAACTATTGCTACGAATTTTCACTTGTTTTTTTATTATTTTTTATATACCTCACCAATGTCTTGATGTTATTATGGCACGGGAAGTTCGAATCGCACATTCAAGAAATCATTCTTTGACACGCTCAGCTTTCGCCCATATAGCTAATCCATGTCATGGTTCAATCGTTTTTTTGACAGTTATTGCTTCAAAATATTTTTATTTTTTTTTTTCAAAAAAAATCTTGATATTTTTTTTACACAATTTTATTACACGTGAAATTCAAATTGCACAATCAATTATTCATTTTTAATGCAACAATTTTCTCTTCTTTTTAAACAAAAAAAAAAAAAAAANTTTTTAAAAAAAAAAAAAAAAAAAAAGTTTTCAGCAGTCATTGGCTACAGCTACTGATTTACACGTGGTTTTTAAAATTCCAATATTTGTAAGTTGATATTATTCCGACACGTGAAATTCAAACTGCACATATAAATAATAACACCTTGAAATCCCTTAAATCCATATGGTATTTCAATTATATTTTCGGCAGTTATTGATAGATTGATTTTTATGTCGTTTTTAAATATCCCGATATATTTCAGACAATATGGGAAATTCTATTCATGCATTTAAATATTTACTTTTTGATGCAATAATTCTATTTTTTTTTCAATCGATTCTTTTGATAGTTATTGCTTTTGATTTCCACAGTTTCAAAATCCAATATTTTTAATATATTATTTATTAAAACAACTGAATCTCGAAATCGAACACACATTTTTGTAAACCTTTTTTAAAGAGTCCGATTAATGTGATTTCATCGTCTATCTTTTTTTTTTCGTTAGTTACTGTCAAGGTTTTAACGATTTTTAAATATTTTTGTTTAATTTAATGATTTACAAAATTCAAAAAAGAAAATAATTAGTTCTTTTTTCACCTTCAAAATGTCAGAATATCGCCCATAATACTAGAATAAAAAAATTATTACATTTCCAATTAAAGATGAGTAGGTTACAATTATTACATTTCCAATTATACAAGTCAATTTGTTTTCTTTTGTAAACACAACACTCCTTTTACAATTTCAATTAATAATTAGAATTAAAAGCATTTTGTAGGAAGATATTAGTCTTAGGGGAGTTTGTCTCAGAAAGCCCCAAAAAAATTCTACCAGAGGGCTGATTGATTTGTCTTGAAACTATGAGCACCACTAAGTTAATGGGTACTTATGCATCAGGATTTATCATGCAAAATTCTTCAATGTAAGAAAACTTTCCAAACTTAAATAATATTTCAAAGAAAATATTCTCCTTTAACTGGTAAAATATGCCACCTCTTTAGACAATAGTGAACTTTTCTCTTTTCGCCAAAATAAAAATAATCACAAATTCTGGCAATTTCCAAGCAGTGGCAAAAAAAGAGTTTTAAATTTGCAAAGAGTTGCCGAAGAGTTTTAATCGTAGCCATAAGCAAACCACTAAAAATATACTTTTAAATTTTGTAGTTTCTAAACCTTTTTGCACCTAGAAAATGGTAGTTGGTGCAAACAGGTACCAGTATGGAAATATTACCAATAAATTACGGTAAAAACCTCATGTTACAAACACTCCTACAAAATGGATGTCTCTCATTGCAGAATTTTTTTAAAATATTTCCCAAGAGTATTCTACCAATAAACCATTATGTACCATCTCAACAATGCGGATACTACCGTAACCCAATCTGTAACAGTCTCTGAATCATTATTTTCAAACGAGACACCACTTTTTTTAAATGTGAACAAAAGAAACTATTTCTACTTTAAAGTTTAAAAAAAAAAAAAAAAAACATGCATCTTTCCACTTTTTCTTAAAGCATGTACATTTTTGCCTTATCCATAACTAGAAATTTTGCTACATTAATCAATTGAATACATCAATCATTCTCCTGTCATCTTAATTTATTTTTGCAAAGGAGAGAAAAGGGTACTGCTCATGAGAAATATTACAAATTGCAGCAACTTTTGATTTTTTTATTTGGACGACATAGGTAATGAGACTCCATAATTTGAACTATTACATTAAATGCTCTCAATTTTTCTTCCACACTAAAAATTCCTTTCTTCTTCAATTCAATTTCATCCTTGTACCTAACCTACCACAGCTGGGATCAAAAAAGTATATAAATATATGGGTATATAAATCAAACATTTATTCAAATGATTGATTATGATTTCATAGTTCCTGGTGCCTGACAGGTAGGTATTACCATGTTCTATTTTTTTCAGTGCATCTCAAGTGATAGGGAGGTGATATGGGGTGCAAACCTATTAATTGGAACCTAAAATGATTCTCAATTGATGCTTTCTAAACATGAACAAAAAGTGATATCATGTTCAAACTTGTATTGAAGAACTGAGGAATTTTATTTTTTCAGCAGCGCAACAGCCCATAGAGGGCCAAGGCCTACTGTGCCCATCTCAGTTTTCTTGACCTTGGGCTCTGGGGTGCAGGAGCAGATGTTCCGGTCAGGTGGTCAGCCGAACGCGAAACCCCCAGTGTTTAGTTCCCAAGCAAACTGAGGAATTTTATACACCCAAAAATAATGAAATTGAGGTAAAAATGCTAAATGATTTAAAAATGAAGATATGACAAGTCATAGCAGCTTAAAAACAAACTTCTATCATATTTCTTTTCAACTAGATAAATATAAAACAAAGACAAGCATATTTATCAAATTTCTTCATCTATTCTTAAATAATATAATTTTGTTAAGTTTATATAAATATCTCTGTAAATAGTTTATTATAAAATATTTAATTACTTCTATATCATTGCAGTTTTTCTAAATACAAATTATGGTATGAGCTTTTGTTATTAGTGTACCCTTTTTATAAACGGCCAACTCTCATAAGCAGAAAAAAATTTTGGGTTCCAAAAAGTTTTTCCAAAACAGAGGTTTCACCATAGTTACAAAAAAAGCCCCTAAGCACAAGATTACAATACAATCAAACAATCTGCATTGCCATCTATGAGGAGGGAATAATAATGCATTTTTCTTCATTATAGACCGTTAAATTTGTAATATATGCTTGCCTTTATATTCAGCCTATAAAATTTAAACATTTATAATTACACCCATAGTTTAAAAAACAACTTTGTACCTCAATTTTAAAAAGTGCAGCTTGAATAAATAATGAAGTTGAAAATGGCCTTGAAAAAGGAAATCCTAATTGCACCAACAAGGATTTTGTAACTAAAAACACATGTTGACCTTCAAGTGCACCACAATCCGATTTTTTACTATTTCGACTATATTTCAGAGTCCAATAACGAAGACTTATATTAAGTGATAAACATTCAGACAGACTATCTTCTATTGGAGCAGCGATGATTTTATTAGGATATTTACTATGCAGTTCTAGCATTTGAGATAACTGAGATTGAGAATCCAAATGCACGGCATCTGGGAAAATGAACACATGATTTTTATCAATATAATTCATAGGCAAAGAAATATGTTGAGGCTTAGATAATGATGATTTTAAATTGATAATCTGAACGTTATCCTTTACATGATCGTCAAATTTTAAAGGTGGGTAAATAATCTTGTCTGTGATAAGCAGTATTTTTACCGCAGGTAGAATTGTACTGATCGATTTAGTAGTGTTCGGTAAATCATTTTCAAAAAGTTCAAAATCTCTGATCACAATTATTATTTCAGACGCTAATTGTAATTCAGTGTAATTTATATTATTCTTTTCGAAACCATGTTCTTTATGTACATCTCGAATATATGAAGTGTAAATTTTATCTGGTTTCGAACAATCGCAATCCAGATATGACCACATAATACCAGCTATAATAATGTTTGTAAAAACCGCTCCAATCATAAACACTCTCCAAGGAATAACTCTCATCGTTTTTATTTCTTAGCAATAGACACATTACAAAGACATCAATATCTATTATTCAAGATACTTTTTTAAATGATGGGGTCAAATTTTTCACTATTTTAATACTCTTTTTTCTCCCAAACTTTTGTAAAACTGACATTGCTTTCACTCTAGCAAATCGTTTATTTTTGTTTCGATTTCAAATTGAGTAAAAATCATATTTGAAGAGTCTGTATTCGTTTTGAAATTAGCTTTTAGCTTACAGATATAAATAATCTAAAAATGAGAATTTCCTTGTGACGTCACTAGCAAACGATCGCAACTCTCGAAAACGACACTGGGGAGAAGACCGGGAGCTCAAACCTCGCAGACTTCGAACGAGCTAGGAAGAGAAAAATGACGTCATTTTGACGTCACGTTTCTACTCCTAGGGAAAACCTGAAACCTCGCGCTTTCGAACGAATTTTGCTAACGGGCTGCGATCTTCATTTTTCCTCCCATCTATCGGAAAGCTTTCACCTAACAATTTGCTGGTGAAAGCGATTCGAACGTTCGAATAGGATGCATTTAACACTGGGATTAAATTAGATTTCAAAGATAATTTTTANCCTGACGACCTGCGCGCGAAGTCGAGCACTTTACGGTTGCACAGTTTAACGAGGACCAATACCGCACACCCTCGGTCCCTACGCAGACTGATCCAAGTGGTCAAAAAGTGTGATTTAAAATAAATTCAATAACCGATCGCAACGCTCAAAGCGCCATCTAGGGATAAGACCGGTTCCATGCTCTTGAACCTACCCCTTTCCCTCTCCTCCTCCTTTCAGTTGCATAGGAATGTTCTACGTTATTTCCCCCCTTCTTAATATTTTTCGTATTTAATTGTCTCAACTACATTTTAAAATTTTCAAGACGCATTCTTTTAGAACCATGTTCTATGTGGTTTTCAGTTCCGTTAGTTTTAATCTATTTGAAAATCAAGAGAGAAACTGGCGTACTTCCTTCTCCTATAACTCTCCCTTGCTAATGGTGAAAGCATGCATGCGAAGTGTTGACATAGGTAAAGAGTTCTGTTCTACGCCATCTATAGCCCATTTCGATCGCCAATATTTCGTTTCGTGATCCCAACTTGATTTATTAAATAGATCGATTTTATGGGACTGACTTATTTAATTGTAGAGAGTCGCGAACTACACTAAGGGAACACCGCAAGCTCCATTCCCCCTATACTTCCGGGTTACTGTTTCTGGTGTATTTTAAAGCCATTTGGTTCACAATTTGATCATTGTATTTAGAGATTGTTACAAACGTGGTATTTGATTACTTATAACTTGTGTTTGCAATGCAATAAGTATTATATAATACTTATGTTTGCAGTGCTAAAGGTGCTAACACTAACGTAAGATGGTACACAGCTTTCAACAAAAACAAACAGTAATAAACAAATGGAAAGAGACCAAATTAGGACTGCCTGCCAAAAAAGCGAGCTATTCAAAATTTAGTAACCATGCCACCTTTTTTTAACAATATGTCTATAAATATCTAAAACAAATTTTCACTTCAAACTCATCAGAATTGCTTAATAACATCAATATCTCATGAAATACGGCAGATTTGAGCTCAGGAATGATCTAATTTACTTGTATTATTGAAAACAAAATTATCCGTTTGAAAATATCGCCTCGCAGAATAAGCTGTAGTAAGCAGTTGCAAACTTTTTAACCGAAACTAGAGCAGGTATTGAGCTCGAGATTGTTATTGCTTACATATTTATATTTGAAACACCAAAGTAGTCTCCCCCCCCCCTAAAGAGAAATGAAAGGAATTAAAAAAAAACCGTTGAACTGCTTTGTTCTGTTTGAAGATCGTATTCAATAACAAAGATTACTTAACCTTCGTTTTTACAGAAAAATCAGTTTTAAGGTTGTTTTTTTTAAATTTCAGACAATCGATTGTTGTTGTTGTTGTTAATTTACGTCGCACTAGAGCTGCACAATGGGCTATTGGCGACGGTCTGAGAAACATCCCGGAGGATGATCCGAAGACATGCCATCACAATTTTGATCCTCTGCGGAGGGGATGGCACCCCCGCTTCAGTAGCCCGACGACCTGCGCGCGAAGTCGAGCACTTTACGGTAGCACAGTTTAACGAGGACCAATACCGCACACCCTCGGTCCCTACGCAGACTGATCCAAGTGGTCACCCACCCGCACACTGACCGCAGCCAGTGATGCTTGACTTCGGTGATCTGCTGGGAACCGTGTCTTATCGATCAGTCCACTGCGGGACTTCAGACAATCGAATTAATAATAAAGAAAAATACCTTGCTTGCGGTTTCTGGAGAGGGGGGATTAACCCTGAAAATCCTATCCCGGGTATGTTACTGCATAATACATCACACTTTTTAGTAAAAAGCTGCAATTTGAAAACTAAAAAAAGTTCTTATTTTTTGTTAAGTATTCTAAAAAAGAAATAATTTATCATTAATATGTAAAAAAGTTTCATCTTAAACTAAATCACTACTTTAATTAGGAGGTCACCAAGTTCCACAAATTCTAAAATTTCCATCCCAATAATAAAAGTTATTCAGTGTGTAACTTACAATTTTAATTTTTACTCAGTACACAGGGTTCAACATTCATATAGTACTTGTCCCGCAGTGGACTGATCGTTAAGACACGGTTCCCACCAGATCACCGAAGTCAAGCATCACTAGCTGCTGTCAGTGTGCGGGTGGGTGATCACTTGGATTAGTCTATGTAGGGACCGAGGACGTGCGGTATTGGTCCTCATTAAACTGTTCTACCGTTAAGTGCTCGACTTCGCGTGCAGGTCGTCGGGCTACGGAAGAGGGGGTGCCATCCCCTCTGCAAAGGATCAAAATTGTGATGGCATGTCTCCGGATCATCCTCAGGGATGTTTCCCAGTCCGTCGCTAATAGCCTATTGTGCAGCTATAGTGCGATGTAAATGAACTACAGCAACAATCATACAGTACTTCGAAAATCAAAATTAGCACTAGAAATTCTAGCAAGTAACAAATGTATATTAGGGTATTAAAACTGCTTTCATTTGCTGAAAAAGGATTTTGTTCAGCTGGACTTCCAAACAGCAATATAAAAAATGTGGAAGCCAATTTCTTTTATTTAATTGTTGGTTGAAGTCAACTGGTAGGGAATTTCTAGGTGTTTCTAGATATATGTATTTTCAAAAAAGGAAAAATTAGAAAAAAGTTGCATGAAAGTGGAAGATTGAAGTATTAATTTAGGAAAGGAAATATTATAGAATTGCAATTACTTAATTATAGATATAATATAGAATTACTTAATAATTATCATATAATTTTTTATTGACGTTTTTTCCCGTGCAACTTTTATGAAAACTTCTTTAGTTTCTAATTTAAATAGTTTACATGCTTAACAGTTTAAATTCTGAAAAACAGTTAAATACCCAAAACAGTGAGGACCAAAAGAAGAGAAATAATTTTAAACCAAACAAAAAGTAAAATTCCAAAAAATTTATATTTTTTAATAATTATAAAAAATTCACTATTAAGTTTAACGTTTATTTAATAGTCTGCAAATAAGTATTGTAATATGTACTTAATTATAAGTTATTTAATAAAAGTTTAAAACAAAATTAAACTTAGGATAAACCTTAATATAAGACCGGAAGGAAAAGAGAAGCATCACTATCGCTGAATTAATCTTTCAGCAAGACTTTTTGGAAATATAATATAAAATATTAGATATTCCTATAACACAGGTTTGTAGAATTAGCATAGGCATTCAATGCATTTTTGTTTAAAGTATTTTGCAATATAGTTTCCTCTTCAATTTTTCATTTTTGAATAAATACTTAATTATAGAAGCATTTACTGCATCATTATAAAAATTGCAATTCAAGGTTTGTTAACATGTTAGTCTTTGTAAGCAACAGTTACACTAGAACTAAAATAATTAATTTGCTCAAGTACTAATAGCAGCACACAGATATCTTACTTTTAGGTACATATTATACATACTTTTGTAAAATGTGAAGAACATGGACATGAAGTGACATGGGCAACACGCTATATTGGAGCTTAGGTCAGAAAACTATTATTTTACACTTTTTAATATATTTAGTTTATTACTAATTTCATTTGTGAAGTTTTGATTTAAAATTAACCAAGTTCGAGAAAAAAATTGGAAAAGTCAGAAGAGGGGCATTCCAATAATTTAACAAATTTCTTCAGGAAATAATAAATCAGTTAACATCACAATAAATATGCAAAATCATTTACTTTTTTTAAAAAAAAAGAAAGAAAATTCTTGTCTTACCTTCTAAGGGATAATTCATTCCGACATGGCATCTTTGGAGAATCACCCAAATGCCATGATGATTCAATTTAGTTGTTACTCTGCCTTTGAAAAAATGCATGCTATATCACTTTTGATACTGTAGTGTTTTTATCACATATTCACTAAGAATATATAGAAATACAGTAGTGCATAAAATCATATGTATCGGTGCACTTATATCTTTGCACCACAATTGACGAAAATAAACTACGATTCAAAAATCTTGAGAATGGACTTCAATATTGGGATAGACTTTTATAAAATTCTAAAATATTTGATAAATGAGGTATTGAAAGACATGATTCACATCAATTTACATAATGATTTACTAGTGTAATATGTGTTTTTTATTACATCAAAAAAGTAATAAAAACTTTTTCTTATACTAGCACTATATTTCTAACTTTAAATTACGACATTGCTGCTATACGTACAGTCATAAAAATTTTGAAAAGGAGAGATCCATTCAATAGAAGTTTTAATAATATAGCTTTAAAACCTTTTTTTCCTTCTACTAATTAAGTTATATATACAGTCAAACCTCATTAATGTGTAAATGCTTAACATGAACTAATTTTTGATTTCCCGTCAAACTGTATACAGATATACTTTAAAGTACTTTTAACGTTAAATATTTTTTTAGGTGAACTCTAATTTTGCCACCACAGGAAAAAATTTTACTCCAAAAAGAACAGAAAATTTATTTCTCCTGACAGGTAAGAAAACTATTCATTCACAGTTCTATATCTATAAGAGTTTTTTGAATGCTTTGTTATAGTGTTAATAATTACAACATTACAGTAGTCAAATGAAAGAGTTGTATGAATTGAATCTGTCGAGGGGGAAAGGGTATTACAGGAAACTACATAATCTCTTTTGTATTCTGATATTAATCCACCTCCATGGGGAGCTTCATGGATGTGAATGTAAAGAATCATGTCATGTTTTCCTGAGAAATGATCACACATATTGATCCTTCCTTCAATACAAGTTGTTCTAAGAAACTGATATTGCTGAATTGCATTTCTAAGCGTAAAGATGTGTGGAGCTAAAATTTCATTAGAGAATACTTTGGTTTACTTTCTGATGATACTAAGAAGCAATTAGAACTTTTTGCTCGATTGTAATGCAAAATGAAATATTAAATAACTTTTTATAGAGTTGATAAAGTAAAGACTTTTGGAGAGCAAGACAGCAAGCTATTACCAATTATTTTACTAGTAATCCTCTTTAATTTATGTAATAAATTTGTTTATTCTTATTCGTAGTTACGTTTCCGTAACTTTTTATTTATATCAACAGAATTAGAAAAAAAAGAGCATCAAAAATAAGTACACATTTTGAATTTTGTCTGACCTGTATTTTTTTTCTTCCTTTCCTTATAACTTTGTTTTATTTTTTGAAGTAATTGGCAGTATTATTCAATATGAGATTCATACAAGTTATTAATTTAATCTAGAGTGCAAAATAAAAACATTTATTGAGATGATTTATATATTCATAATAGAAATTTAAGATTAGAATTGAAAATAGATAACAGATATAAATAATATAAAACGTTTGTGTACTGTAAATTTTTTTTCTTCTAAACTATAAACTGAACTACTTTTATATGAACAAATTTTTTCTTTCCCTTTAGAGTTGAAGTTATTGAGATTTGGCAGAATTCATACATATAGTTTTAATAAATATAATTAAGAAATAATGAACAATGAGCTAATTTGATTGATAAATAAAAACATAAGTGCTTTGCTTTTATCTATGAAATGGTTTAAACTATGGTATAAATCAGTGCAGCATATTAAAACAAACGAACAAAAATGTTTCGGAAATAAAAAAGAAGTCTATATGACATTTTCATTATTTATTATTTTATACAAAATGGTATAAAAATATAAAAGACAATGATACATAACAATAAAAAAATATAACAATTACAATATAAAATAGCAACTTAAAATTTTAAACTATGGAGTGTAAAGCAATATTTTCAAATATCCATGCTATTATTGACTTTTTGTACGTAAGTTAAACCAAATTATAATAATTATACCAGTGAAGTCAAATAGATAGATCATAGTAAAATTTAAACATTTCTGAAGAGAACAAACTGTAAATAGACATAAATAAAATAATTGAATTAGTAAAACTTTTAAGTAACAAAACAAAATACATAAAAAACAATACTGTCGCTGTAAGAACATTTAAATTCAATACTGAAAAAGAAAAAAAATGAAGATAAAACATAAAATACACATATTACATATACATACAGCAGTTAAAACTATAATTATGACATAGAGAACTTTTTAATCAGTTTAATATTTTTAATATAAAATTTCAGCAACTAATAAACTTATTTATAAAAATTATAGATACTTTTAACTCATTTTGATATAATGCTTTAAAAGCATTTGTTTTTAATTACATGATTTACCATATATTATGCTTGTTTATTGTTGCAAAATTTTCTAACTGATACAAAACAAATTAAAAAAATTCTTTGCCATAAAAAAATATGGGCATTCATAATATTCCTCTTAAAATTGAAAAATAACTAAAAGAAGCCACATTAACACAATGTGATCTTTTAAAAAGAACGATTAAAAAAGGAGTTAGAGAAATCACAATTAAAATAGTTTGCATTAAAACATTTTGAATGATTGCTTTTCGTTACAAAGCAACCTCTTATATATATATATTTATATACATTTAAAAAAATAAGCTTTTTAACTTGCATAAATATCAATTTTGGCAGCAACTTTTTTACACCCATAGACAGAAAATAATTCCATTTCTGCAGGAAAATATTCAAGTTGATTGGCAATCATGTTTACGTCACCCCTTAAATTTTGGCGTTTAAGTTCTGAAATGATGCACTCTTTTATATGTTTCTTCTCCAAAGGTAAAAAAGGAACATATACATCAATTAATTCTTTTGTCACAATATCACTATGCTGCAAACCACCTGAAATATAGTAAGCAAATACAATTAAGTTTTCAAGCAGTAGTTTGTTTCAAACAAGTAAACTAAAATTTCAGGAACTCCCTTGTCCTCTGGATTGGGTTTAAAATTACAGGGCTATGGAGTTGAACAATGGAACATGTAATCTCAAAATTGTGTCAGCTGTTCAATGACGATTATAAAATAAAATACATTTTTTGCACAAATATTTTTTTTAGTATTTACTTTTATGTATCTAAGCACTGTAACATGACATATTTAAATATACTGCTAAACTGTTAATTTATCATAAATTACAGTTATTACAATTTGAGCTCAGTCAGCGACAATTTATTCAGTATATGAGAATATACTTACTTTTAAAAAACATTTCAGTAGAATTCTATGAATTATGTTAAAAATAACAGAAAAAGGAATTCTTATTTGCTTCAATTTGTATTTCCTATTTTGAAAGGATGATGGAATTTGAGCAAAAAGCTTGTGGGTGTGGTTATTTTTACCGACTGATAAATTCTTCTATTGTATACACTTACTTAATAATAAAGTTTTCTTTTTAAATTGCTTTTAACATTAAATTTCTCTCTTATTTTTTGTTTTAATAATGAAGTGGTTATGCAGTAGATTTGTTATAGAGTTTATGCAAATAAAGCTTTTCATAATTTTCAAAAGTCGCGATTTCAGAAACTAAGTAAAAATGGCTAGCAATAACCACCGAAAACTCACTGGATTTATGATGAAATTGGCACTGACGAAAAGCGTCAAAAGTGATAACTAAAATTCAAAATTCGTGTATCATAATAATGACGTATTAAAAATATTGGGATTTTCAAAACTATGCAAAAATTTGCAGTGTTAAAAATCGAAAAAAAAAGCTATTGAAAAGCTACATTGATTGAGATTGGGTGCACAAAAACTTATATTTAAAATAATTTTTTCATTTTTCAAAAAAAAGAATTAGTTTTTTAAAAAATTTGTTGATTGCTGCGGGTGGGGGAGGAGATAGAGAATTGGCAGGGACGGCAGGTTGTGCACCCCGGTACTATATTTTCAGAAACCTCAGTATGGGACCAAATTTTTTTTTTTTTACCCTCAAAACATTCAAAAAATCATTGTCAATTAAAGTTATAATGAAAATAATTAATTAATAAAGTTATAATGAACTACAGTTATAATTAATAAAGCTATAATGGAAATGAAAATAATTGATACCCTTTTCATTAAAAGCTCCTTTATTAACCAAGTGTTCCAAGTCTTTTAAAGTAATATCCTCTCTCGTTTTTCCATCAGCCCAGAAATCTAAGGCAACTCGTGTGATATTTATGGCACCAGCATTACTAAAATTATTAAAAGATGTTGTAAATATTAAAATTCAAAGTAAAATTTTTATAAAAAATGCAGAATGTACCTTGTACAAAAATATAATAATGCAATAATTGATAAAAAGTTTTTATTTCATTAAAAAACCAGAAATTCTAAAAATGGCCTGCAAAATTCTTTCTTTTACTCTTTTTTTACAAGGTAACAAGTAGTTAAAATATAGCTCTTGTTACAGAAGTTCATTTATATACAACCAATTATTATTATTATTATTTTGTTCATACGAGTTTTAGTAATCACAATTTCTGTTCATTATACTTAATGAATACTTGCGTGAATATTGATTTATTTAAATTAATTATATTAAATAGCAATTTGTTAACATGTGGTTGACTTCTTAACATCTTAGTTTTAAAATAAACTATCCTTAGAATTATCAAATTCTTATAATGCGTTAGGGTATCCATGAATCCTATTTTCTGTAATAAAAAATTTTAAAATTTTTCACTAGGATTAAGTCCCGACTTTATTTTATTTATTTATTATTATTTTTTTTTATAGTCGGCACAAGATAAATCTACAATGACCAGAAAATATACTTCTTATTTCCAAAATATTAAAAATGATGGAAAAAGATAGAAGATTAAGGGATAAAACAATTTATGATCAGAAGATGCAGATTTATCAGATCAATAATCACATATAGTGTTATTTTTTAAGTAAAGAAAAAAATACAAGTACAACTAACATGTACCAAAAAAAAATTCTGTAAGGGCATTGTTATTTTATACAGAAGTGAGATCTTTGGTTATAATGATTTGAACAGGGTTTAAATGTCCCTAAAAAAATACACACACATTTTCATTACAAAATAGAACTATAATTTGACAGGGGAAAAATTTTTCTAAGATACATGGAAACTAAGGTAAGTTGGTTCACTTTACAGTTTTTATTTTTGTCATTTAATGAAATCCATATAGTTTATTTCTCTCTACAAAACATCTCACTATTCATGAATTTTTTAAAAATTATTAAAAAAAAAATTTGATTAATAGTACAGTGAGGCTGGTGTACTTTGAACCACCTTACGAGGCACGTTACATAGCAAAAATACATCCAGAAACAACATTGAAGGTTAAAGGTTATCAAATACAGTAATAGCACTAATTTCTTAAGTCTTTAAAATAAAAAATGCATTTTTAAAGATTAAGAGATAACTAAAACAAGTTTTTAGTCGTAAAAAAAAAAAAATCAAAGATAATTCTTCTTCTTAATGCTTATAATTATTTATTGAAATTTAATTTAAATTAATAAATAAACTATCTAACTATTGATTAATATTATTAAAAGCCGAAATATTTGTCAATAAACTAAGTCTGAACTATACCAAACTTTTTAATTCCCTGCATTTATTAAAGAAAAATAAATGATTTTATGAAGTGCCAATGTCATACATGCTTAATATTACCTACTAAATTTCCAGCGTCACATTTACCAGATTACATTTGAAAAATAAAGCAATGTTACGACAAATGAGCTAAATTTGTAATTGAAAGTATTTTTCAGCATACTTTTTACCTTAAAAATATAAAAATATTCTTGCGATAATCTACGCCTCTTACAGACTCGTGATAATCTAGATAGGGCGTCAAAACATCCAGAACACCAGGAGGAATTTTATCTATCTCATCGAAAATAAATAAAGATCTTTCACACAATTTGGTCTTTTCTTCAATTTCTTTCTTTAGTTTATCCTATAAGACAGAAGAAATTTTTAGTTTTTAAGAAAAAGAAAGCAAAGAGCATTAAGAAATTTTTGAAAAGGCAATAAGCTAAAACAATTTTTTTAAAAAAAGTATGCGGAAAAGGACAAAAATTATTTTGTTTATCAGGTGACTCTAGACCATTAGAGGATTAGTGCAAAGTTAACATATTTTAAAAGTTAAGAAAATAAGTTTAAAAGCCTGAATATTTAAAATATTATTTCTTAAAAAAATTATAAATCAAAAATTTGCTGAACTTATTTAAAGTAAATTTATTTGTTTAATTCAAAAAAAGAACAATTAAGTAGTAAATACAGACGAAGTTGGCATGATTCAAATCACTAGCATTTTAAAGAAGACATTGATTTAAATGAACCAATTTTTTTAATAAAAAACAATTATTGTTTCAAAAAAAATATTTAGGATACATAAAATATGAACATATTCCTAAATGCGAATTTTTTTTGTTTTCTTTTACAGTTTGATCTCATTGAAATTGAAGATTTTATTCAGAGAAAGAATGTGAGAATAAAGCAAGTAAATTATCGAATACACTAATAAATAAAAGACTAATTATGGATTGAAGTGATATGAAATATTTAAATTTAATAAACATGATTCAATTATACCAATTTAGTTTTATGTATATTTAAATAAAAATACTTTTAAACGCATGCTTTGCTTATACAAATTGTGAAAAAAAAGACTTCGTCTGCAAAGAACAATTATAAATGACTGATATTTTTTATATTTCTTGATCTAAATTAATTTATTCTTCATTTAATATCTAAATAACGAATTTGGTTTATTTTTACAAATTCATGAAAGTATTGAGTTTGAATTAAAACAACCTTCTTTTTATTTTTTAATGAATAATTTGTAATAATTATATAATAATTTTAACCATTTTAGATAGAAATAAAGTATTTGTAAAATAAATTTTTTTTTTAAAAACAGAAATTAAAATTATTAAGATATTGCATTGTTAATATATTTTATGAAAACTTTAATTAGTACATATAAATAAAAATGAAAAAAATCTAATTTAAACAAATTAAATTAAAAAAACAAAATTCTGATTTTGTGTCATTTTTTAAAATTATGATTTTTGTTTACTATAGAGAGAGTAGGCTTGACTTTCTGCTAGACTTTTCTAGTCAATAAATAAAATAAAACCAGTATAAGCACATAAAATAAAAGAATAAAATAAAAATGATTATTTTAAAATTTTCTCTCATAATTTGGTGCTTGAATTAATTTTTACTTTGAATTAATCTTTACTTTGATTTGAAGGAGTCTTGACTTTTTAAATGGGCACAAATCTTTCCATCATGGGAAAATTTTTTTTAAAGCTAATTCTTTTAATAATTACACTAAAAATGCTTCCAGTAATTAAAAATTGAACTTAGTATCGCTTACTCAGAATACTCACTATAAAAATTTATGTATATTTTAAATATTTTCTAAGTTTTGTGCAGCACGCAATCAAATTGAGTTATTTTTAACATCATGTAACATTTGTCTGTATTACCACCAAACTGTCACATTTTATGAATAGCTGATTTTCATGTAGGAAGATATGATCTTATCAAATGGATCATAATAGAACATGAACTAATTGGCTCTTTTCTGTCAATAACTCTTGAAGCTATTTAGTTTGTATTTAGAAATGGGAGCTCAGATGCAAAATTATCAGAGACAAGGAAGTGAATAGATACTTAGAAGACATGCAAATTGTGAAATAAATGTATGAAATTATACTTAATAATACTTAGGATCAGATGGGGGTAAAGTGGGTATAAAATAAACTTTTTTTTTAAAGAAGACTCTAAAATCAAACCAATAAATTCATTTCACCAAAAATTTTGATTCATTTTATCTAATTTTGATTCATATGGATTAAATATGAAGCATAACTTATCTATTTTGTTTACAAAATTTTTTCAAATTTGTTGTTTTAAAGAAATTGTTTTGTTTTCCATGAAAAAAGTGCCATACAAAAACAGAAACTTTTGTGAAAACTCATCTTTATTTTTAAATATGCTCACTAAAATATACATTATGCTATTTTGGTAATTTTTTTTATTGTATAATATGTTATATTGCTACTTCCCCCTAATATTTTTTATGATTAAAATATAAAAGAAATTTTGTTTTTTGTGTTAAAATTACTATGTAGGGCTATGATCAAACAAGTAAATTATTTTTCATCCTAAAATATAGAGTATTATATACTTACTAAAGCTGACACAGAAAAAACATATCATATCCTTATCATACAACACTTAGCTAAGCCTAACCATACATCACTTATGTTTTAAAAATTGGGAACTTTTTTCCTATTTTTTTTAAATTTTTTTCGTATTAGCTATAGCGGAGCATTTCTAATAGACTTCGTTCTTCTATTATCATTTTTTTTCTGCACTGTAAGACAGATAACCAGTAACATGTGATTCTCAATGTTAAAGTTATATTACAGAACTAAGAAAATTTTTTCTTTCAGCTTCTCTTTTGCTTTTTTATTAACTTTTAATTTGTATTATTGTTTTTATTATGACAGCATTTCATAAGGAACATTTCTAATGAACCTGAACGTTATTCTTTTGGGTCACTTTTTCATGTGAAAAAGTTAAATTGAGATTTTTAGCGCCGTATCATTCATTTAAAAAATAAGAACAATTTTTATTTTGGCTTATATCTTTTCCTATTTTCTTTTACAAAAAACTTTAGTTTTTATAGACGATTTTATTACGACATGGCAATTATGAGGGTTTCTATTAGATTTTAAACTTCAACTTTTCTTGAAACTCATTAATTGGAAACTGAGAAGTTTACTTAAAAATTTTCTTTTGAAATTAAAATAAAAAAATTTATGTTTTGCTTATATTATGTATAATAAATTTTTTTATGGGCATTTTTAAAAACATTTCTGATAGCGTTTTTTTTCTTTTCTTCTTCTTTTTTTAAAAAAAGTCTTTTAATAACATTTTATGAATAACGTTTTTCCGGAAAATATTATTTTTAGCATTAATTTTTTTTAAAAAGAATTAAGACGATATTTCTCTTTTTGTTCAAATTCACAGGTTTCATTTTTTTAAATAGTTGTTAGTTAGTTTTAATTCATCTTAAATATTTCTAATTATCTTAATACTTAATTAGCTTTACTATCTTAAACATTTTTATTAAAGTTTTCCTTCCCCTTACCCCATACCAATAATGCAGCTAAGTTTTGATAAATTTTTAATATTGACTTAACTTATTCATTTATATAACAAAATATTTATTGATGATTTTTTTTAAAGAAAAAGGTTGTTATACGGCAGCCAAATATTCGTTATTTGGTCAATATTTTAGGCTGAATATTCAGTATTCGGCTAAATCACTATTCTTTACATCCCTAGTCTTGAACATGACAAAGAAGAATAAAAGCGCTGAAAAAGTTAATTTAAATAGAATATCCATCAATTATAAAAGTACTAGAAATAATCTAACTATAAAAGAAACAGCAAACAAATGGATTTTTCATTAAATAAAGAGAAAAAAAAAACTCATTACCTTGTAACGTTTTACGTCATCTGAGTAAGGAAAATCATTAGTACCAATGTAGAGGTGAGAAAATTTACTATTTGAACTCTCTTTAAACATATTCCGTGTAATAATTTTGCTAACATGATTTTTTCCACTGCCTGTGTCACCATGAAATGCCATAACAAGGGCTTTCTTTGGATCTTTTCTATTCATATGAGCTTTAACAGCTTTTAATACAACAGACTCAACTAGGTGCTGACCAAATAGATTATCTCTAAGGTCGCCTTTTAAACCTAAAATAAGAAACATAAAATGTACAATAATTATTACAATTATGCTATAGTAAATTTTTTTCGATAATGCTTGATATTTATTTGATAAAACTAAAAACTTAGCTACTTAATATAGAGACAAGTAAAAAAAGTAAAGTAGGTAATATTATTTTTGGTTGCTTAAGTAAAATAAACTTCTTCTCAGCTATAAATTTTTCTGTAGCTAGTAATGCAGTTAATTTATAGAAGCATACCAAAATGAATCACTTAATTGATATTGTTTTAGTATATCTCTTGTGACATTTATATAAGATTCAGATAAATAACATAAAGAATAATAATGCTGTAAAAATAAAGAATAAAACTTCACAGTTTCATATAAATTGTAACAAAACAGTTACAATTTATATGAAAATAAGGGGTTATCTTCAGATTGCTTAAACATTGTCAGAAGCAATGTATAGTAAAAAATAAGATTTTAGATAATTTTTTAGTCAAAAAATATATTCAAAAAATTAATTAAAAAAAAAAAAAACTTTGTTTTTTTCCCAAAAAATATTTCACTGAATATTTTGCTGAACACTCGGCAAAAGGGTTGAATACCTATTAGTGGCCAAATATTCGCTACACCCCTAATTTCTAACCAGGCCCGTCCTCAACGGAGGGGGGGGGGTCTCACCCCCCAGCGATATCATCCAGTCGGCAAATTCAGGTTGAGTCGGCTTTTCCCCCCCCTCTTTTTTTTTTAAAGGTCAAAATTAAATCCCGACTTCGCCGAAATTCTTTCATTGTCGGATTTTTCACATTGGTGATGAGATTTAAACGGATTTCAATGTTATCCGAGCTTCGTCCATTTCGGGATCCCAGACCCGACATGGCGAATCTTGTTATGAATTGTGTTTTTAAATTTAGTTTCTTTTTTCTCCTCCAAGAGTAACCATTTATGATAATTCAAAGCAAGATGGCCGATAATACAAGCCAAAATCCCGTCTGTGCCGAAATTCTTTTATTATCGGATATTTCATTGGTGATGAGATTTAAACAGATTTCAATGTTATCTGAGTTTCGTCCATTTCGGGATCCCAGACCCGACTCGGCGAATCTTGTTATGAATTGTGTTTTTAAATTTAGTTTTTTTTCTCCTCCAAGAGTAACCATTTATGATAATTTAAAGCACGATGACCGATAATACAAGCCAAAATCCCGACTTTGCCGAAATTCTTTTATCGGATATTTCACTGGTGATGAGATTTAAACGGATTTCAATGTTACCTGAGTTTCGTCCATTTCGGGATCCCAGACCCGACTCGGCGAATCTTGTTATGAATTGTGTTTTTAAATTTAGTTTTTTTTCTCCTCCAAGAGTAACAATTTAAGATATTTCCAAGCAAGATGATCGATAGAGCAAGCCAAAATCCCGACTTTGCCGAAATTTTTTTATTATCGGATATATCATTGGTGATGTGATTTAAACGGATTTCAATGTTATCTGAGTTTCGTCCATTTCGGGATCCCAGACCCGACTTGGCGAATCTTGTTATGAATTGTGTTTTTAAAATTAGTTTTTTTTTCTCCTCCAAGGGTAACAATTTATGGTGATTCAAAGCAAGATGACTGATAATACAAGCCAAGATCCCGACTGTGCCGAAATTCTTTTATTATCGGATATTTCATTGGTGATGAGATTTAAACGGATTCCAATGTTATCTGAGTTTCGTCCATTTCGGGATTCCAGACCCGACTCGGCGAATCTTGTTATGAATTATGTTTTTAAATTTAGTTTTTTTTTCTCCTCCAAGAGTAACAATTTATGATAATTCAAAGCAAGATGACCGATATTACAAGTCAAAATCTCGAAAACCATTTCTCATTTATTATTGTTTCAACGACGCATTCTAAAATTTAAAAAAATTTCAGTGACCTTAATTTTTAGTTAGCTAATAATGTATAATAAAAGTCAGATATTAATTATCTGAATTATAGTAACTCTTTATTAGAGGTTTAAGTAATTTTTTTTAAAGGAAGTGGTGAACTTACACGAGTCTTTTTTAAAGAATTAATAAATTTTAAATGAAATAATCGTGTCGGTGATGCAACCTATTTTTTTTCTTTTACCTTCAAAATATTGGGGAAAAATTGCAAATAAGAGTACCTTTATTATTCAAAATATCTTATTTAATTTTGTTTAAACACCACATATTATTAAATAATTTATATTTTCAATTAGTAAAAGCTATTTTTCTACTATGAAGAATTTTACTTACTCCAAAGGACTTTAAACATTTAAAAAAAAAAAACATTTAATTTGTTAACTACCCTTCAGTCCATAACTTTTAAAATTCTATGATGATTGGATTATTATTTGAGTTAAATTTTTTTTAACCTAAAATAAATTGTTGAGGGACCAATTCATATCTTTAGAACAATTAATCATCACAACAAAATTTGATATACTCTATGGAAAATAGTAAACATATTTGTGATCCTCAATTCACCTTTATAAAAGTTTCTGTTCCGAAAATAAAATATTATATTTTGCTTTTAATATTTTTTTTCAAGAATCCTAAGAATTCTGAAACATTAAATTGAGTTAGTTACACTCAATCGAATCAACACTTCAATTATTTCACACAATTTGTGGATGGTTGCAAAGTTCAAAGTATTAAATATTGTAATTTTGGATTCATTAATTATTTCAATAAAAATACGGTGAAAATAGAGGAATTCTTCCATTCCGAATATTCACGGAAAAGTGGCAATTCTGTTTGATCTAGCCGTTACCGGCACTATGAAAAAGCGAAAAAGAAAAAAAAAGGATGGTCCTGCGATTCTGATCTTGTGAAGCAGCAGACAAAACCCCGGATATTTTTGTCAACTTGAAAAATCGAGGGTGCTTAAAATGTTAGCTAGAAATGCCCTAAGCTATATTTTCTCTTCCTCTTTCTAAGAATAAAGACAATATCTTTTTCCACGTCGTTAAGAAGGGGAAGGACGGGGTTCAATGCACATGCAGTTGTGGTACCAATTACTTCACTGCCCTGTTTTTAACTGTCTAGTACGGGTACTTAGCTACTCAAAGCGTATTTTATAAATCCATATTATTATTGAATGAAATAGAAAATTCGCTTACAAGCCAACGATCATCCAATCTACCGCAGCTTTTAAGTTTTGAATGTAAGTTTAATTTTTTTTTTATGAATACATATTTATTATTTGCAGTCTTGTTGTTTAAATATTAAGTTTAATTAAATTGCATTAAATGTGTTATTATTTTCAAATTTAATTATTTCCTTAATTATTGCTTAAAAATTTAGGTTTTAAGACTTTCTCAAAAAAGATTTTTTTTTAAAAATATATATATATGAGTAAAAATTGATTTTCATGAAGCAGATAAAATTATTTTTTAATCTCTTTTGTGCAGTAAAATGATTAAAAAAAAAAGAGCAATTAAAAACGTTATGTTATTTATATTCATTAGTAGGAGCTAGGGATGGAAGAAGATAACATTTGAATTCCGAAAATTGGAATTCTTTTTCAGTTTTTTACTTTTTATTTTGAGTTTTAAATAGTATTTTTTTAAAAATATTTTTTCAGTTGAAGTTATTTTTTTTAGATCTTATTTAATTGAAATTTCAAATATCGAATTCTATATTTGTTCGTACGCTTTGTTTTTATAAGTCCAAACTGCAATCTTTTATGAACAAAAATGTACTAATGCTTATTTTATTGAAAATGTAAGGTGATTAAAAATAGAAAAGTTTCAATTTTTTTTGATAAATAATTCTTTCTAGCTATTTTGCTGTATTTCTTATGTATTTAATGTTTTTATATTATCTTTTTGACTAAAGTTAACATTTTTCATTTGTTTAAGTTAATTATTAGTACAAAAAAAACTTAATAATTTTGTAATTATGTAAAAATTCAATTCACAGTTTTGTATTAAAAATGCAGAATAATCATGTTAGCATAAATGCTTTCATAAGTTTTTATTGTTAAATCTATTAGCGTTAACTGCACCAATGACAGTTGCGACAAATGAAGGAATTTTCAGCAAGATGAAATTGATTAAAAACTATCTTCGAACAACAATGACCACAGAACGCCTAAATTCACTGCTTTTACTCAAAGCAGAAAAAGATTTTGACAATATTAAGCTTGATAAATGGGCAGAATATTTTTTACTTTTAAAACAACGTCGAAGAAAATTTATGTAGCTAATAAAATGTAATTTTATTAATATCTTAATTTTTTATCATTTTTATGTGTATTTCTTCATTTATAATTTAAATGGCAAATATTTTCAATGTTTTTCTACATCATTTTTCTTATTTTTTTTAAAAATGAAAGAACAATTTACTTTTGAGTGAATTTTGTTTTGAATCAATATCTTATAGAAGACTGTATTTTTTGATTATGACTTACTTTCTTATCTACAAACAGTTTCTTTAATTAGCTTACGGTAACGTTTAGATGAAACGAAAGATAAATTTTAATTACTGAGTGATTTTTCAAAAAATATTTAAATATAGCATACCTGCTAACTCTTCCGGAAGATTTTATTTTCATATTTAAAGTGGTAGCAATACTCAGGTTATTCCAATTAACTTTTTGAATTATAATGATAAATATAAATGAGTTTGACCACCACTACATATAAATAATTATAATAAATATATAAAAGCATAATAATCTATGAGAAACCGAATTTCAACGAGATCGAAATATAAATATATTTTTGAGTCAAATTGTTTTTCGTTTATTGTTTTACAACCACTCTGAAAATCCATTATCGTAAAGAGTGAAAGTTGGCAGGTATGATATAGAGTAAAAAGTATCTTAAAGTTGCATTGAAAAACATTTAAATTTACAACTTTATTTTTTAAAATTATTTCCACAAATAATTACTGATTACTATTACTGAAAACTTATTTTAATTGAATAAGTTTCAGTTTATTTAAAAATAGTTTTTTTCTTTAATATTTTGTAACAATTTTAATAATTAAAATTAATAGAAATGTAAAAACTATATTTTCTTTGTATTATTTTGAATAATTACTGGTACTATTTAGTTATCAATAATACCACATTTTTCACCTATGGCAGTTGCATTTATAAGTGCTGTAAAAATTTTTTCGATGAATAGCATTATGTTTACAACTAGTCGAAATGATTTCAAAATTGGAAGCTCAAGTTTTGTGGCGCATTTGAAGTCTTTTATCTGTTTTGTTTTACCTTTGATTATCAAGCTTTAACCATATGCAAATTGTGTGTGCGTATATATATATATATATATATATATGGCAGTCGGCAAAATAAACTTCAACACCCCCCCTCTCGAATCGGTTAGGGACGNTTTCTTGGCAAACTTCAGTTTTTGACATTTTTGACAGGTTTTTGACGGTTTAAACCAGTATTATACCCTTGTCATGTCAAAAACCACTTTTTGACGTCAAAAACCCAACCCTGGCAGTCGGCAAAATAAACTTCAACACCCCTCTCTCAAATCGGTTAGCGACGGGCCTGTTTCTAACGCATACATCATGGCATGCTACTTTTTGAGACAGGCGCTTTCATTTGCCTTCGGACTTACAGAAAGAGTGAAGCAATTTTTTTGTTCACTTACGACTCCACGATAGTGATAATTTAAAGCCATCAAACTGAAAACTTGTCCTTCGACCTCCTCTACTTCTATGCTGGGAAATGTGGTTACTAATTGACTGAATACTGTCAAAGGAAAAGGATTGCGTACTGAATGTGCCGACTTGCTTCAAAAAAAAATCTCAAGTAACTCAAGCTCTACATCTTATATGTTTCTTACTTATTCATAACAAAACTAAAAAATACATTTTTATAACTCCGAAACAGATTTATTTTTCAAAAATAGTTTTATAATTTTATTTAACATGCACATTTTCTAATTATATCTTGATTCGGATACTATCTTGAAAATTTAAATTTGAACTAATAATAATTAAAGTATGTAAATTTATAAAACTTAACTATGCAATCATCGTATAAATGTCATTTGCTTTAAGTAATTATTCATTTAAAAAATAATTTCAATGTTACCTTAAAAATAAAATAATGGTTGTCTAAACAGATTTGCTGATTCGTAAAACTTTTATAAGAGAAAGTAAAAGTAAGATTTTTTAATTTCAAATACAAATATTTTATCCACATTTACTTCCTTCAAATAAAACCATTCATCTAATAGAACTTCATCCATAAACTCAATTTTTGACATTTAATTATTAGTTACTATTACTAATTATTGGTTAAAAATTATTTAAAAATAATGTATATAGTTTCTCTTATTGCTTTAGAATCGTAAAAAGCCATTTTCTACGATTTAAAAAAACTATGCACAAATTAGTCTTCAAACAATGAAAAAAGATGAATATTATCATATAATCTAACAAATTGCAACAGAGAAATTGGGAATGAAAACATCAAAACCAGTTTGATTGCCTGAGGTAACGGAGAATAGTGTAGCTCAAATTATTACAATGTATTTTTTTAAATTAATTTTGAGGCATTAATAAAAATCATATATAACATCCTTTCTGTTCCCTAGGGCACTCAAACTGGTTTTTATATTTTCAGTCTTGTTTTCCTAAGCAGTAACTCAGTAGATTTCGACAGATTTTTTTATTTTTCTCACATAAATATTAATTGTGTTCACTAATGCTCAATAAGGAAGGCCATTGCTTTAACAGCTTGTATATGCATATTTTCATACTCTTATTCACTTAATTAAAAAAAAAATTCAAAATAAATAATATTCATCATGAATTTAAATGAGATTTAATAATATCATGAATGAATGATATTATTATTCTTATTTAAGTTTTAATTAATAATCTCATTGCAACACTTCATCTACATAATTTAACTGCTAGTTTTTTTAATAGTGCACCAATTTGTTTCTTGATGTTTCTTTTATCATATTAACAGTTTATAATTTAAAGAAATATAAATGAAAAAAAACAAACATATTTTACCCAGATTAAAATTCATGAATGGCATTCAGGCTTCCAGAAACATATAGGAAAGTCGTAACAGAGGTCTGTTAAAAAAGTATTTAACATACTTTTTTTAACTAACATTTATAATTAAATTACCTACTAATAAAGAATGACAATTTTTCAATAACTAATTCAAGAAAAAAATTACTTCTTACAAGAATCGCAATATTGGATTTTAAAAATGCGAAAATACAAGTTTTGATATTAAATTCTTAAATCGCGTAAATAAGAATCAATATGTATAATTTTTAGATCGTATGAATAAGAATCGCATTGCGTAGTTTTCAAATTACATATAAATATGAAAATGGATCAATGATATAACAACCGCATAAATACGAATCTCAATATTGAATTTTAAACTCACATGAATACCAATCACAATATTAGGTTTTGAAAACAAGTCAATACAAATAATCGAGCATCGCGATATTGGATTTTTAAATAGCTTAAATTCGAATTGCAATGTGTAACTTTTAAAAAACATACATATACGAAAATTGATATTAAAATTGTATGAATAAGAAGTCAGATCTTAGCAGATCCCGGTGCAGTTCCAAATATTCAAAAAATTTACATATCCACAAAATCAAAAGAATAACATGTAAGCGTCTCATTAACAACATTTAGAAAAAGACCCGGAAGAATGATAAGAAACATCTAGATCACAATTACCCCTGATTATAGCTTTCAGGCGAATTTTCATGCATTTATATTTTATTATCTTATTTTGTTTTATAATTTTATGCAAATCAGTAATAGAAATGTTGCTTGGGGGAAATAGTTCGGTCTATTATCTGATGTATTTTTGTTTCAATAATATTTGCAATTTAACATAAATTGATGATTTTCTTACTGATTTGCATAAAGATACTCAGGTATCTTACTGATATTTTTTATAAAAGTGCTACCGCTCAGGATACTTTTGCCTGGTATATCATACCCTGAGGCTTTTGTAAGGTTAAGTGCCACAGCCTGAGATGCGTTTATTCGGCATACTATTTGCATAGTGCATACTGATAATAAAACTGTCGTCTAGGGCTAAGATTGGATTTTAGGTCTACAATGTTTTTCACTAGTAAAATTTAAGTCTGTGTTGATAAAAAATATGAAATACTGATAAATAACTGATGATAATGATAAATACTGATTTATATGCTGGCAATATTTAATTTTGTTCTGGGAAGTCGCAATAGTTGGAGTCAAAATTAGCTGGAGATGAAAATAAAATCGCCAATATAACGGGAGTAAACTGCTGATAAATCAGTTCTAGTTTTTTATTTCATAAAAAGCTGAAATTTGATAATTATTTGATCTTAAAGGTTAAGTTTTGAGATATTTTGTTCAGACTGACATAAATTATGAAATAAAAGCCACTGAATGCGTTACGCATCTGATACCTAAGGGCTATACTAAACGATTTGAACCAAGCAAAGATGATTAATTATCATTTAAAAAAAGTAAAATACATTAACAAACCAGCTAAGTCGTAATTTATCCACGTTTTATCACAGCATTCATTATTTATGCAATTGGCGTAATTCCACCCAGCATAACCAATAGACAAGAAAAGTCCAATAAATGTGGCAGTAATAGGATCCATAGATAGAGAAATTTGACACAAAAATGTAAGAAACACAATAAAAAAGCTAAATATAAATGCAATCTTAGTCATAGAGATATTTTTAGTACATATTTAAACTATAGAAGGGTCTTTAAAAAGCAAATAATGCTTAGGTAAAAAGATATAGAAATTTTTAAACTTTAGCTATAAAGAGTCTATACGCCAAAAACATGCATCACAATAAGTTCAGCTGATAAGCTTCTTCTTCTTTTTTTTTTTTTTTTTTAAAANTAATGTGTGTTTTTTTTTTTTTTTTTTTTTTAAATTGCATAGGGGAATTTACCCGCTTTTCGATTCAATAATTTATTTACTCAGTATGTTTCCGGCTGTCTGCTTTTGCTTAGCATCGAACTAAAGATGAATTACTCATTCGCTTTACAGCACTGTTCTTTTAAAAAATACATTTTTAAATATTTTCAGTAGAGTTCAGAAATTTCTAAATTGCTTATTTCGCGGTAAGTAATATTTGAATTCCAATATGTGCTCTTTTACGAAAAAAATATTCAAATATCTTTTTTTTTTAATGTTTGTGACTGTAACTGAAAATCGAAGTTTATAAATTTTGCGCCAATAAAATTTCCCGCCATAACGCTTTCGTTTCGCCTAGGTTTTCGACGTTTGATACTTGTGATTATTTTGAAATCCGCTTAATTAATTTTGCAAAATGTCTGGTCGTGGAAAAGGTGGTAAAGCAAAAGGAGGAAAAAGCAAAACACGTTCTAGTCGTGCTGGATTGCAATTTCCAGTAGGTAGAATTCATAGACTTTTACGAAAAGGTAATTATGCGGAAAGAGTTGGAGCAGGAGCACCAGTCTATTTAGCTGCAGTATTAGAATATTTAGCGGCTGAAGTTCTGGAATTGGCGGGAAATGCAGCCCGTGACAACAAGAAAACTCGCATTATTCCTCGCCATTTGCAACTTGCCGTTAGGAATGATGAAGAATTGAACAAATTACTCTCTGGTGTTACTATTGCTCAGGGTGGAGTGCTTCCTAATATTCAAGCTGTTTTGTTACCCAAGAAGACATCTGGTGGACCTGCGAGCTCTGGAAAATCCAGCAAGAAGGGAGGGCCCAGTCAAGAATTCTAAAGTGAATCATGTATAAACTTTCCAGACTTCATTGGTTAACTTGTCATCATGTTTAAAAAATCTCATCTCGAAACTTTGCTGTGGCAATGAAAGCTTTTAATTTCCACATTTGTGCTAATTTTTTAAATAAATATGTTTTGATTCTTATGCTGTGCTGCTTGGGATTATTTCTTTTAATAATTTGCTGTGAAATTTAATGCTTTGTTTCTATTCATTTTGATTGTGCTACTGCTATTGATTTATAATTGTTCTGATGTAAAATTTTTTTTTAAATTTAAAAACAATTTTTTTTTGGTTTCCTCTGAAATTCTTTGAAAAGTTTGATTTGTATCTATTATGTACTGAAGTCTTAAGCTGACTAAGAGATTTAAAGTGTTGGGTGCTCTATTGAAGTTCTAATCATTTCTGTGATGTGAACCAAAGGTGCCTTATAAATCTGTGATAAATTGCCTACTGAGGTTTGCAGTGCTTATGTTATTTTGTGATTATAGCTTTTGTCTTATTAATCCATGTGGTTAAAGAAAGAAATTAATAAGCTAAATAAGTTAAAGGCATTATTCGGGTTGGATTCATTTTAAATCATAAGTTAGTTCCTAAAAGAAAATTTAACTGTTGATAAATTATAATGCAAAGGAGATCTTCAATATTTATGTCAGTAAATTATTTAGAGGAATTTATTTTGAAGAAATATTTTATATTTAATTATAATATTTTCGCTATAAGTGGGAATGATCCTATTCGCTTAGTTGATTTAATATAGGCACAATAATTATTTTTTATTATAGGTGATATTCTCATACTTTGTAGGAAAATAACACACAAATTATTTCCTTTTTTGCATTTTGTAATTTATCATCACTTAAAAAATAAAAAAACCATGAAATATGTATTGAACTTTTCATAAGGGGTTACTGAATTTGTGTTTCCATTTTGAAACTCGGTTGTTGTGATAAATAATATCAAGTTTTAAAAGCAATCTGTTTATCAGTAATAACTGCATGAAGAAAATAGAACAAGAATTTTTGCAGAAAAGAAAACCAAATTTTTTACTTCATTAATCTTAAATAGAAATAGAAAAATCATAAGCATTTCTCCCCCCTCCCATTCTGATGCACAAGAAAGGCAACTTGTGAATATAATTCTGCAGAAAAGAAAAGAGAGATTTTTTTACTATGTTGCCACGATTCTGCTAACAAAATATTTCTAACAATAATATTCATGTACATTACCATAAAATGCATTAATTGATTTTTGAACCAAGAAAAATTTTCTTGATAAATAGTTGAAGGGGATATTTCCATTTTATGATCTACCACGTTAACTACAACAGGGTTGCCATTCCACTGGAAAATACAGGGAATTTTGNCTACACAGTTTTATTCTATGCATGTAGACTTATTTTATAAACACGAATTTCATCTATTATTATAAATTCATTACACATACATTTATAACGATAAAAATATCTTGCAGAAAGATATTGGTTCTAATTAGGTTTGTCGCAGAAAGTCAGGGATTACCATAAATTGCATTAATTGATTTTTGAACCAAGAAAAATTTTCTTGATAAATAGTTAAAGGGGATATTTCCATTTTATGATCTACCACGTTAACTACAACAGGGTTGCCACTCCACAGGGAAAACCTGGAAAATACAGGGAATTTAAAAATCACCTAAAATGCAGGGAATTTTGTTTTTTTATTTTTGTCTTCTAAAAAATGGTGACCACTCAAAGCATAATATATGGGATTCATTGTGATGTGAAACCATGATATTTCAGCTCTACTGAACTATTTAATTTATTATAGCATTATTTAAGTCTGTTCAGCTATTTTTCCAGCAATTGAAACTAATAAATATAGTTAGCCCATTATAGCTGACACAAGAGCACAGTAATTGTTGTTTCCTCTTAATATATTGCGTATAACATGTACAGGGAAAACACAGGGAATTTTTTTTCCAGATTTGAGTGGCAACCCTGTACAATCGCCAAGGTGCCAAATTGTTTTGAACTGCAAATTAAAAAAAAAAAAACATGTAGTGGCTTGTTTGAGGGTGGTTGCAAGTTGGTCCCTTTTCGTGATGTTTTTTAGTTTCTTGTGGGCCAGTGCATGGAAGACATTGCAATTATTCTGGCCCAAATTATGTTATGGAAATTTCCTCTATTTACACGATTGTTTAAATTTGATAATTTAAAATCTGAATGTTATTACTAAAGTACTGTTAAAAAAAAATCATCTGATCCCCAGTGGCAGAATTGCTGCTACATTGTTGCAGAATGTTTGAGGTTTTGAAAGATTTTTCTCCCTTGAAGGGGGAAATTTTTGTTTTCTTTTCCGCATAATTTTTAGAAAAATATTTTTTTTCCTGCCGAATTTTATTTTAAAGATGTCTTCCTTGTGCATCAGAGAGCAAAGAAATAATCTCTATTTTTCTATTTCTTTGAGATTTAAAAAAAAAAATCTATAATAACTGGCTTTAGCTAGAATTTCAAATTAATAATATAAAATAAAAAAAATCAGCTGTCCCAAAAGTTAAAAAGATATTTTGTTCCAGAAATAATGTTCGTGCTCTCATTTTTTCTTTAAAGAACATGTTTTACACAGAATTTTTTGAGTATTTTTTTTAAAGAGCCCTATTTGCATGATTTCGTCGTTTATCTTTATTACTGCACAGATTTTACAATTTGTATTAATGTACGGATTTTAATTTATTATCCTTTAATTAATTTACAAATTTTATTATGTGCGATGATTTACAAAATTCGAAACGGGAAATAATTAAGGCAATGAGATATTGCCTCTAATATCTGAATTAAAAAAATTTTATTTTTAAAATTGAAAAATGTTTATACATTTTTATTCTATGCTTTCTTTTAGAATTCTTTTGAGGAAGATAGGGATAATATATTAATATAGCATGAAGGTGACTCAATACAGTTATAGTGATTATGAAATGAGGTGGTTGTTCTGTAGAATGTTGATTGTAGATAATTTTGAGGAACTGCATTCAATTTTGAGAAGCAAAGACGATAATAGAAAATTTTTAGTGGTTTTTCTACTTGCATATGGTGTTCTATGTAGAAGGAACTATAAAGGTTCTTCAGACATTTGGGAAAACATTCAGTGCTTTCCTGTAATAGAATAATCGCCAAATCTAAGCAACTTCTGGTCAGTGGCTAGCTAAAAAACTAAAAGAAACGGCTCAAAAGGTATAAATTGGTAGACTCCTCAGGACAACAAAAAAAATTCAAGTTAAAAAAATCTTTTAAAAAGTTTTTGAGATTTAAATTTGGAAATTTAAAACTTAATGTTAATATCCTGAATTATTTAAAAACAACTGCCTAAAAAGTATAAATAAGTTATTGTGCAACAACACAAGAAAAAAATTAGTAAAAGGCCTAAAATCTTAAAGAAAATCTCTATTTTGTGACAAAAAAAAGCAGAAAAGGTTACAATAAATTTATCAATCTCAGAGCTGATTGTGCTCCGGAAAAACTCCGGATTTTTCGCTAACAGTGATCTGGAAATCGAAGGTCCAGACGTTTCAAATAATCAAGATGACAAGTGACTTATATAATCTATCAGATCTTTTTGGCGACTAATATAATCAAGAAAAAAGTTCTTTATCAGTAACTAGTTACAGAGCTGATTGTGCTCCGGAAAAAATCCGGATTTTTCGCTAACAATGAACCGGAAATTGAAGGTCCAGACGTTTCAAAAAATCATTGATCACAGAAGTTTACGGAAATCAAGTATCCAAAGGGGGAACTTAAAAACACAGTTCATTTTATTTGTTTGTAAGGGGGAGCCAGATACTTTATAAGCTTATATTCATGATTAATATAAATTTTTTATCAGTAAATAGTTATTATAATCATAAACTAAAGAAAGAAAGACATATTTGTAAGTTTTAATTACTTCTCCAGATCATCATAGGTATGTGTAAAATTTGAAATATATTTTAAGTAAGCTAAGAAATATTGAGAAGAAGGAAAAAAAACCTTGTTTAAATTTCTTTCTTATTATTCAATTTAAATTTTTTTTTTTTTAACTCTAGAAATTTTTCAGAATTTTGATTTGAGCTCACAATTACCCCTGCAATCCTACATAGGTTTGAAAATGACATTCACTCTTTTTTTCTAGAATGTTAGTCTCTTTTGGTGGTTTGTTTCGTTTTTTTAAGTTATCCAGTGATATTAATCAAAAATGGATGGTAGGAATTGGCAGTTAATTTTTAATATATTTTTATCTATTCCTTCTACACAAAAAATAAACATGTAAACACAAATATTATAAATGATTCAGTAAGTTTTCCAATTTTTATTTTTTAAGTCAATATTCATTGTTTTTTGGTGTACTTGATATAACGACCTCACATTTTAATTGGTGATCGAAATGGGCTATAGGTGGCGTAGAGAAGAATTGAAAACTACATTACACATAGTTTTGAAAGAAAGCATCATGGAAATTTTATAAAATATTTTTATTAATTAAAAATATTAGGAAAAGGAAAAATACATTCCTATACAACTGAAAAGAGGAACGGCCAAAGACATGGAACCTGTCTTCTCCCCAGATGGCGTATTCGAGCATAGCGATCGCTCATATTCATTCACTGTGTTTAATAAATTTCATCAGTAATTTGTAACTAGCACTATTTTTGAAAAGTTTAAAATAAAAGTTATTTTTAGCTCGAAATAATGTTACATGATAGTATATAATCCATCAAAGGTTTTAACTTTTTAAAATACGTTATAGATTTTCATTCTTGCATTAAATGCAATATCTCTTAAAAAAAACTGAGGGAAAAATGCACACACAATTAAATATAAATAAATCAGTTAGCAATTTTTTTTTTAATGTTGCGAAGCTAAAGTAATGTAAATATATATATATATATACAAATTTTTTTATTATCTTTGAGCTTGAGAAAAATTTTGCCCCTACTGCCAAAAAAAAAAGTGGCTTCATGTCTACCGTCATGGGTCATGTTTAATTTGGTGTTTGTCAAGGCCACAATTAACCTACAAGTGATATACTTTTGAGTCAGAATCACACTGTGCAAAATCAATTAAAAGTCATTTGATTAATCCATATATAAAAGCTTTAGCCAAAATAATAATGAAAAGTCCTTAGTATAATTACAACAGATTTTTTATTTTGTTAATAGTTTAATAATATTATCGGAGGCACCACACATAATTCTTTCTCCCTCTGATAGATTTGGCAAGATTAAAAAAAGGTAAAAAAAATCCTTTTGGATAATAGCGACATTTTTAAGAATAATTTCAAACTGGCAGTTCTTTTAAATTTTTGAAAGACTTGATGGGGTAGGCTTAGAGACATGGCAGGTGAAAATCCCCAGCCTGTAAGATGCATTCTCAAATTCAAGGTATAAGTAAAAGCATCAACTGACACTTTGGAAAGATAGTTATAATTACATTGGAAAACATTCTTATGCTAAGATAAGAGCAATTTAAAGAAAGGATGATTAAAAATAGATTTCGATTCTCAGACGTAAAAATTTAAGAAATGATTTTTTGGAAAATGAAGTTTGCTGCTACATTTAAGGAGAAAATAAAGAGTTAAAATATTTCAAACCACTTTTTGTGAAACTGAATAAAAATTAATAAATTGTTTCATTTACTTAAAAAGGGATTGCAATGAGTTACGACAAATGCATAAAATAAAGAAGAATAAGCTGGGAAATCTGCTGTGCCAATTATGACAAGATATACAGCTTATTTAAGTAAAAACTAGTTATTCCCTACCAATTTGCTAATTTTATTTATCTATATTCAAATCACAAGAGTTAAGTCTTCTAACCAGCTATCTGATACCACCTATTAAACAAACTTTCGAAAATACAGAGATTGCAATTAAGTGCAAATTAAGTAAAAAGTCGAAAATACAATTTTTTATAGGGTTCCCAATTTAAGAAAATATTTCTGCAAAAGTTCTTTGTATTTGAAAGTCACTAAAAATACAGTTAATGCTTTCAAGTTTTTTCTTTCTAAATTTACCTTCATCTATATTTTAGTTCCCTTCAAGTGAAACTTACATATTTTCTTTTCATAATAATTATTTTATAAATTGGGCTAATTTATTGTTTCTTTTGTTAATTTAATTTTTTTTTTTAATTAATTAAATGTATTTTTTTTCCTTTTGAGTATCTTCCAAATAATAGCAGCTAAAATAAATCTTTGCGCACATTTTTGAGTGCATTTTATAGCTCCACAATGACTTATGCAAAAATCTAATTCTGCAATATGTATAATACAGACTTGTAATTAAAATAAATAAAGCTGACAGAATTAAAATATACTATCCTAATTAGGCATAAAATGTTAGTTAATTTGAATAATCATCTCAAAACACTTATGTAGAAGATAAAATAAAAACTAAGAATGGTATGTGTATAAATTCTCAAGTTAGTCTAATAAAGAAAAAAAAAATAGTTTCAATATTGAAAAAAAATTTACGATTTGTAATTTCAAGTATATTTTTTTCCAAGTATGAAAGCTTAACATTTAAGAAATCTGTTTTAAGTGTTTTGTGTATTTTAAATAAAAATTTTATCAATTTAAAAAAAAAATCTATGCTTTTAAAAAGTTTAATTAAACTTATCAATTCATAGTGATAAATTTTCACAAGTCGTAATGAATGTATAATACTCAAGCTTCTTCACAACTTGACCCAGCTTTGCCATGATAAATTAACTCCTAAACAAGATTTAAATAAAACTAAAACAATACACACAAGTTCAAGTACACTAAAAACAACTTGATTATGACATTTTGTCTCGATATAAATAGCATCTTTACCACAAACATGTCTGTAAATAATAGATCCAATTATTTAATACATTTTAAATGACATAGACAAATTATTTTTTAAAATAAAATTACCTTCCATTACAAAGCTGTGTTAAAAACAAAGCAAAAGAAAAAAAAAATTAATTAAATAAACAATGTAGAAATAATATTTTTTTTTCTTGCATTATTACCATTTTAAAAGTAACAGGCGTTATCAGTTATTAAATATATATACTTCTAAATAATTAATTTCTCATACTCCTCACAAATGTTTTGTGTAAAGGATAAAGAAACTATTTGTTTAGTTTTTTTTAAAAAAAAAGAAGAAAAAAGGCTCATCTTCCAAACATAAGGCTGGTAGTGTATTAGTAATCAATCATATTTTGGAAACAAAATTAATTGATTCTTTGAAATAACTGAAATTTCATTTTAAAGTGATTTTTTAAAGAAATACAATTACTTTCAAAGTCGCAATTACATCATAAATTCTCTGCAGTGTTATATGTCATAGTTTTAGATCAATAGACTAAGATTTTAGTTTCAATCTGGATAAATAGGTAGAACTAATTGATTGTAGATAAACCAAAATATAACTTTTTTAGAAAGAGTTTATTAATGATTATTTACACACATTTGTTACACCTTAAGTAAATAAAGTTCTAAGCTACATTGCCACTTGATAGTAAATCATACATTTTACAGTCACAAACAAAAGAAAAAAATGCTACTGTAAGAACAGTCTGATACAAAAAATACAATACAATAAATAGCATAAATGTAATGGAAATATAAAATTTTTCTTTTGTTGATTTATTTTTGAATGGATGATACAAATGCACACTATATATGAATATAAAATCTCCATTTAATACTCAATATTGTTAAAGCAATGTGTTTATTCCACAAGTACATTTGATAAAAAACAAAAATTACAGTTGCAATCATATAATAAAAATTTATTTATAATGAATTTGAATATAAGAAAGGAATGATTCTACAAATTAAAGTTTAGCAATAATCAATGAGTATTTAAAGAAACACACTTCATAAAGTGCACACTGGAGCTATTCAAACTTGAGTAAAATCTGACTTTTGTAACAAGTTAAACTTTCTATGAACAACAGTTTTTTTGGAGTGCAAATATGGTAATTAAGATTTTAAAACACCTGATTTATATTTTCTTTTATTTTGAAAATAACTGTCATTTTTTTCTTTAAACAAAGTACTACTAACATTATATGTGAACTAGATATTTTTATTTGGATATTTATGAGTTTTTAGACAAATACAAAAATTTTTGTACATAGGTACATGTAAAAAATTCTTACAATTAAGTAAAATGTAAGAAATGAATGATAAATTTAATTAAAAAACATAAACTGAAATTAAAACTAAAGCCAAAGATAGTAAACAATATTTTATCCCCATAAATCTTCAGTTCGTCCAAATTTGAACACAAGAGCCCTGAAATTAAAAGAAAAAAATTTTTTTTCTCAAAAAATGTATAACAAAATAGAATTTTTATTAAACCTATAAGTATCATACAAGACATGGATAATAAATTACTATCTATCTGAAGTATTACAATAGTATAAAGCTAGTTGTAGTAATAAATTTAGGCAGTATTTCCCCTGATTAAAATATAATCCAACTGTCTGTTACTATTAATTTTCAACTATTTCAATTAACTGCTTAATTTAATCATGTAATAATAATGATTTATTTAAAGTAAGTTTTTTTAAAAAATTTAACTTTCAATAGATTAAAGTACCACAAATTGCATTTATAAATTTAAATATTTTTTTTAATATATTCATATATTTCAGAGGGTCAGTTATTTCAAATTATCATCTAGTTTAATTATTTCATTTAACCAATTGTAGCAGTTATGATTTATCTAATTTAAGTTTTTCAATTAAACTTTTCACAAATTAAAATTCTGTGAATTGATTTATATAAGAATTAAAAACAACATATACAATTACAAACCACCACATATTCCACTTACCACATGGTGTCTGAGTAAAAATCGATTCTGACAGTCAGATCGATTTTGGCAATTCTCCAGACATGTGATTCTTTTGCCTATGCTGGCAGTTATGTATAAACTATGATAATTAATGCTGTTGATTTTTACATGATTTTTTAAATTATTCACAATTTTACTTGATAATTCCATCATTTTTTTTCCAATCAATTATTCGGCATTTATCACTACTTATTTTTACATATTTTTTTAAAATCTTCATATTTTTAAAACAATATTCTTTATTATAAAGCATGAATCTCAAAGAAACATTTAATTGACTCCTTTTTAACACATCCGATTTGTGCAATTTCATTGGAAATACACTTGATTTAATCATTAATTTTTTTCAGTTAATGAGACAAATTTAATTTTTTAATTTTTTTTTGTTTTTGCGATGACGACTTGCTAATTGAAAAAAGGAGGAATATGCAATTCTTTCAATAACTTTTTAAAACTTTAACTAGCATTGGTGGTCAAACTTATTTGTTAGCTATACCTGAATACCATATTGTTTATTAAGAATCTGAATAAATCCAGCAGATTTCTAATCTGTTAAGGAAACTAAATAATGCTTAAAATGATTGGAAAATAATCACTCAATATAAATCACCTTTAGAAAAGAGAAAATTTTTGCAATAAATATTTAATTTTGGAAATTAAATATATTTATTTAATCTTTTAGTCATGCACATAACAATTTACTAAATAGGAGTTTATGCGGACAAGTATTCTCAAACCTTACAGCATCTTGTAATGCTGCATAACACAATGAAAAGTATTTGAAGAAAGCACTTAGTGCAAAATTCAGTGGTGCAGACATTATTAAAGTAAACTTAAATTGTTTAGAGTTAAAAAGGGGAGAAATTAAACATTACTATCTAGACTAGTGAGATGTCTTCTATACATTTTTTTAACGCTGAAAGGGATGAGTTCAAAACAAAATTGAAAGGACTAATACCTATCTACATATCAGATATTACGATATTGGTAAAAAAAAAGTATTGGGCCCTAAAATTTAAGTATGCTGAATATTCTGATGTATATATAAATGCTGAATAAAACGGAACCAAAACAAAATTGCTCAGACTGTTTTTAAGCATTGAAATTTTAATTTTTCACAAATATTTTTATGCATAAAACACTTATAAACTAAAAACTATTAATTCTATCAATTTAAATTTGATTTTATTGAATTTGGCATAAAAAATTAATAGAAAACAATGTCTGAAAGTATACACGGTGTCAGATGTGTAAGAGAACAAAAATTATAAAGTGTTACATTAAAACTAAAAAAATTATATTTGTTATACTAAAAGTATACTAACTATGATTCCTATTAACTATTATAATAAAAATTAATTTTAACAGTAATTTGTGTACATACTTATATTTTTGTATATAATAAAAACAAAATATATTATATTGATTTAATTTTTATAATAATGAAAACCTTAATCTTTAACTTAAAAATCACATTCAAATCATTGTACATAGCTATTTTAAACAACAGTATGATAAGGAAAAATATAATAATTTTAAATACCAGCATGGTTATGTATTTTCAACCTGATCTGTAAAGCACTATTCAATCAAGATTTGCACAATGCATTAAGCCTGAAATTTGTGTCCCAATATAGTTAAGCAAATTAATGACTCTTAGATGATGTTATTCAGATTTTTGACAGTATAGGATGAACCAAAGTATGGTAATAAGAGAAAAAAATTTTTTTTTTAGGTGATACAAGTAACTAATAGGGTATAAGTTTAAAACATAAATCTTGAATTATATCTTAGAGACTCCAACTGGTAAATGCTGAATTGATGACAAGTATATAATTGAAGATAATGAATTAGAATGATATAAATGAACAATTTATCTACAAAATTAAAAGAACATCCTTAAGTAACAAACATCATTACATTTAAAAAAATGAAAAGATTTATATTAATTAATCAAAGATCTCTAAAGAGAATAAAAGATATATTTGTCTTACCCGAGAAAAATGAATATATTTTGTAAAAACACTGCAACACCAGGTCCTTGAGGATCTTTCACTAAAAGAGAATTGTCTATTAACAAGGGAAATAATAATTAATATATGATGCTTCAGAAAAAATAATTAATATATGATGCTTCAAATTATTTGAAAAATAAAATTTAATTTAACAAATTAAAAATTTATAAATTTTATAACTAAATAATATGGCATATAAAATGATGTAAACGAAAAAAAAAAGTGTAAGCAGCAGATATGACTACAAAGTAGAAACTAAACCTTTTAAACAGCTATTTTTTATTAGAAAATATTTTTTATAATTACATTGAAAGAAATAAAGAAAAAACATTATCTATTTATAATCATATATTATAAATGTTACTCATTGTTAGGAGTTTAAGACAGAAAACAAATATTTAAAAAAAAGTTTCCACTATCGAGATTGATAATGAGTTCGAAATGGTTTACTGTTATAAGTTATAAACAAATAGAAATTTTTATTTACAGAAAGTAAAAACTAATTTGGGAAAAAAATCACTATATATGGTCTCTTATTATACTATGTTTCAACTTGTTCATGGTTGTAAGACAAAATATTAAATGATATTGTAGCAAATTTTTGTTATAAAACTTTGAGATTGCACTTTTTATAAAAAGAATTAAAGGGTGAGTATCAACAAGACTATAAACTTATACAAAACTTTTTAATACTAAAATGAAAAATTAAATTGAGACAGAATTTGAAGTTTAAAGCACAATACACAGAACTTATATATTCCATTAGTACGCTATGTTATTTGCTTTATAAGGAAAAAAAAAAAGCAAATTTTGTGTAACAAGCATAACTTAAAAAAATTAAAACAGTAAAAACATAATTTTTTAATTTAAATCTCATGTTTCAGATATCTTTAAATACAACAAATAAAAGGCAGAAGAATATAAGACATATTATTTATATATGTTTACTTGGAATAACATATAAGCCAAATAATATCCAGCAAGATCCAATGAGGGAACCAAAACCAAGAACAAATCCCAGGAAAAGCCACACCCTCGCTCCTGGAAAAAACAAAGCATTTTATCTTCAGAAAATAACATACAAACAAAAAGAAAAAATTGCTTTGAACTAACAAATAAAATTACAATACATTGTCTAAGTTTATATAAAAAATACACATTTAGTCTATTTAAATCTGTATTAGATTCAACAAAAATTGTATTCATTTAAATAAGTTTCATTAAAACATTCATATTTTACCTCTTTGACCCATACAACCTGTTGTATATGCATCACCCCTAACTTGACCATTGGAGACAGCATTTATCCTGCAAGATAAATATGCAAATAGAATATCCATTATGAATTATAATATTGATAACTTTTTATAGTAAAAAGAAAATGACAATAAAAAAAAATTAGAATAGAATAAAACCAATTTTATTTATTAACCAACTTACTGAACTACAATAAACTTTGCTATCGCTTTTTTTCTTTTCTTTTTTCGTTATTCACATTAACTATATCCATGTGATTTTGATGTGATGGAATTTCTTACTAGATCATAAACTAACATTTTCTTTAAAAAAAATCAACCTCATATATGAAAAGTTTTTTAATAATAATTTTATTTATTATTATTTCTTTAGTAATAGAGAACATGAGTTTTATAGAATGACTAACCCAGGGATATGGCAAATTTAAATTTTTAAGAAGGGGCTGAAATTCTCAATTTATAAAATATGAGACTAACTTTTAACTAACAAACAAACAAAAACACACACAGGCACATATATATATATACGCATAGACTTAGATTAAATGTAATTTCTGGGAAAACAAAAAATATCAATTAAGAAACTTTCTTCACACATTGATTAACTCTTGTAACTAGGTTCAATCCTTTTGTCATCACCTCATTTACGTGCAATTTGTTAGAAAATTACGAATTTCCTTGAAAATGTTTAATTTTTTTTAGAACTTTATATTGATTCATACCACAAAGATCATTGAACAAAGCAAAGACATCGTCAAACATGAGGCATCAATGGTGAAAGAAAGTTTTATAAGAAGACATATAAATAACTAAGCAAGATAAGAAAACTTCAATAAACTTATATTACTAATCTAAATTTGTGAATGGCCTTTAATAAATTTTTATTAAAACCTGTGACTTAGTTCAGTATTTTTTGTGGAAGAATGAATTGTGAAAATGTTGAATAGAACAATGTGAAAAACCACGCTTTTGCATAATATGCAGAGAAGGTTAACATGTAACAAAATGTTCAATATTTTTGTGGAAAATATTGATGTTTAAGTCGATGAAACTTTGACATTTTAGATGATAAATGAGAAGAAATTACTTGGGTTGGTGAGCAAAGTGAGCAGGGGGCAGAGCCTCCTAGTAGCATAAAAATGATTTTCACTTACATAAAAAGAGCAACAGTGCCAATAACACCACAGACATGATAGGCATGATAAAAATCTTTTGTATCAGGGTATCTTGCAGCAACATAGATAATAATCCACCATCCTGTAAAAAACTATAAAAAAAAAATACTATTTTATTTAAAGATGATAAAAATAAAATAAATATAATTTAAAGTAAGTGAGAGATTAACAAAATATAAGGATAAAAATTTTAGTCAAGTGAATTTCATTTTGAGTGATTTCTTTTTGAGTACTTAACAAGGCTCAAAAATTATATTGTTAATGTGCCAGGATGATAATAGAATTCTAAAGGGGCATACATTTTTACAATTATATACCTAGTCAGGAAGTCAGGCACATAATAAGATAATCAGAAATATTGTAAAATAACCAAACCCTTCAAATTTTGAAGAAAAATGCCAACTTGTCAGTTGGAATGGATGAAACAAATAAAAAAAAAAAACACAAGTCTTGGCAACTTCCAGGTAGTGCCCCAAAAAAATAAATAAATAATAAAAAAAAAAAAATANAAAAAAAAAAAAAAAAAAAAAAAAAAAAAAAAAAAAAAAAAAAAAAAAAAAAAAACAGAAGGGTTCCAACTAGAGAGGTATAATTGGTGGCTACATGTCTACAAACATCTATATGTCTTTTTTTTAAAAAAAAATTGCAAGTTTAAAATCTATATGGCACTGTCATTGTAGATGGCGAGACAGATCACGTTAAGGAAATATCTCTGAAAAATGATTCTAATATTTTACTTAATCTTAGTAAGATTTCTTTAAAAAACTAATTACTAACGAAAGCAGTTTTTAAAAGTTTAAAAAGTTTACAGGCATGTAAACGACTTGAATGTTTATATGTGTAAATTTTTTTCAATACATTAAAGTAAGTTACTTAAAACAAAAACAAATTGATTACAACACTTTTTAAAACACCATTATTATTTAATAATGTCCAATTTCTTTTGTTGTGAGGATGTTTTACAATTAAAAACATTACTCACCAAACAGCCAGCAACTATAGAAGCAACTGAATTTCTTTTTTCACCAAGATCCATCCATTCTGGTCTATTGAAATGAATATTATCTAGACAGCCGGACATTTCTAATTATTTTTCACCTCAAAACTTAAGTTATGGAGCAATTTACATTCACAATTAATCGAATTTGTCAAATACCAAAACTACAAAACCTTATTTCAGACTGGCATTTGAGGTAGCAGTGCGACAAGTTACGAAGGGACCAAACAATCATAAGAATTTAAGAAATATATTTACCTGTTTTCATTGCATTGCGATGCATATTTCAATAAATAATTAACAAAAAATACATAAGAAGCTTATACTAATTTCTATTTGACCAGAAATGCTTACAATTTTTTCATTTTCTTAATTTTATTTTTAACTGGCAAGCTAAAGTTACAAAAGTATGGCATCACAACAAAGAGTTGCATGTTTTTACAAAAATCTTAAGAAAATCGAACGATGGCAGGTGTTCTGTTTGAAGATATATTTGATGTTAAAGATATTGATCCTGAAGGGAAAAAATTTGATCGAGGTACATATGAAACAGAATTTATTTAAATTGATTTTGTTAAAATTGAAGCGTTTTTCTGTGCTTATTTACAGTTTTATGCATTGACACGAACTTGTGTTTACTGCCGGTCATCGAATGTTATATTTGAAATAATGAGTTATTATTTGTTTTACTTCGTATGATTTCACATATTTAATATATTAAGTACGATTTCCGATAGAATTACACTTATGTAATCGTAGATAATCCAGCAAAGAACTTAATTGGTTAAAAACAAACAAACGAACTTAGAGGTGCAAATTATGTCCTTTATCTTTTAAAAACAGCTGCAATTCGGACTAATTTTGAATACTATAAGAATACTGGACTATGTAATTCAAACATATTTTATACATTAAGAAATTAATTATTAGTACTTAAAGTTAAATATTCATTATCCATTATATGCACAACTTTTTTTGGTGGGGCTTCACTGAAATAAGTAATTTAGTGTCAAAGGGCTGCAGTAAATTTCGTTTTTGTGTCTTCAAACAATTCTGTGTTCCTTAGTTTAGTTTAAGCAGTATATGTTGTTTAAAAAAAATCTAAAAACAAATACACAAAATTCTTTACTTTTTCAACATATAAACAACACGTAGTTTTACCAACCTCGCCACGTCATTATTAATCAAATTATTTTTACTTTCATAAATTAATTACATCTATATTTTTTTTTTAAAATCTAATCTTTTAATCACATATGTTTGAGTTGTTTTCAAGGAAAAAATAATAACAAAGCAAATAATTTTAATCTGTGCCAATGAAATCGCTACCTCTGCATTTTGACTGCATTTTTTAATAAAATATAACTTTTTACATTAGGAGTGGCATTGATCATTAGTCCACATTGATCATCAAATTGCAGCAGATTATGTGTACCTACGAAAAAATTCGATTTGGAAATTAATGAAAAAAGATATAATTCTTTAACTATTTGATCATAAAGCTTTGAACAAGTTCTTGTAAAATTCTCTCCCTGAATACTTTTTTTTTCATTGGAAGATAGTGTTGACAGGTTGTTTAACTCCTACCCCATTAGGGAAAATATGGACATTCATTGAACATAATTTAATCATAATGCTTTTAAAAAATTTTTTATAAGATTTTTCTTTGACAAAGCTAATTGTTTTACCTATAAAATTTTATTATTATTTAGGCATGTTACGACTTGTTAATCAATTCTAGAGTATTCCTGATGCCATCAGTGCTTTTTTAAAATAATGCTTTTAAATGTTTGTAAGATCAAATACAAAATCATAAAGAAAATTCAATAGTCACTAGATTATTTTTGTTTAATTCTTTATTCAGCATAAATTATTAAAAAAATTGAAAGGAATATTTTTTTCCTCACCATGTAATGCAGCATTTAACAAAATTCCTATTTGTTTTGTTCTCTATTAGTATTTAGATATTGATTAAACAATATATAGTAGAACCTTGATTTAACTACATTCATGGTACTGGTCAGAAATGTCATAAAATACAATTATTACATTTATACATATATCACATATTTATACATATATTACATATGTACAATATCAGGGTTATAAAAATCCATCTTAAGTAGCAAAATAAGCTTGCTTAGCTTATTGTAAAAAAATTAAAATGAGTATAAATGTACTAAAACTTTGATATAATTTTTTCTTTTTAATAAAGAAGCTATAACTTCATACTTACATTATTTTGACTTAAAAAATTCAGAAATTTTAACTTGCTGACAGTTTTTTAATTTTAAAGATGGCAATGAGTTTTCTAACCTTTTAATAGCATCTATTTCTTTCTCTTAATTTTCTTGTGATCGGAAGAAAACCTTAAATCTCTAATATTATGCCAAAATATTATATCAGCTATTAAAACTTTTCTGGGATTCACTGATTAAAATATTATTATCACATTGCTAGTACTCATTGAAGTCATCATCGGGCTCTTCACCATAATTTTTCTAAAATGTTTGTGCTGCTAAGTGGTGTTTCAAAGGATATTAGACTCAATACATTTAGATAACTACCTTTTTTGAAAATATGAACTATACAGTCTTGATTAATTTTTTTCCAAACAGATAATACCAAATTTAGAGCTTTAAGATATTTATTTTCTATGTCAGTTAAACATTTATCTCACACAAAAATTTAAATCAGCTAATGCTATTTTTAGAAGTTGTCGGTAAACAACAAAACAACCTTAAAAAAATTAATGATGATAAATCACATGGCTGTAATTTATTCTTGCAGTTAGTAGGAAAAAATTCAATCTAAAAAATTTTTAGATCTAATGTTTTCCTATATTCTATTCTGGTTAGTAAACAAGATAATTTTTCGTTTTTGTAAACATATTTTTTGTCAAGATCGCATAAGTACTTGGTGAAGATAAACTACGTCATCTACGCTTTTTTATTCGCTTTATAGATGGTAGGATATCATCAATGAGAAGATTGAAACATGAGCCAATTTCATCTGTGTTCATCAAAAAAAGCTTTTTACAGAATAAATTTGCCAAAGATGGCAGAGTTTTATTTTCCCTCTCCTCAACAGTGGTTTTATTGACACTTGCAGATTCACCACATGTAACGCGGTATGCCAAATTATTCTGATTATTATATCTGCCAAGCCAACCATTTGATCTAGTGGATTTAGCAAAAATTCAGATGGGATCCTATTTCACAAGCTTTCTCTTTAAATATTGTTTCATCCTTTCCTTTTAAAGGAATATGGAAGAATCCTTTTAAAGGAATATGATGCATGTCCTAAAGATTTTGCTTGATCATTTTTAGTGCCAGCGAATTGTTTAGAATTTTTAATAATGCTTGCTTTTTCAACCTTGGGACACCTGCTTTTGTTTCATCCCCATTATATATATGTGTGTGTGTGTATATATATATGTGTTTGTGTGTGTGTATATATATATATATATATATATATATATGTGTGTGTATAATTTTTAATGAATTTTTTTTTTAATAAATCCCAAAAATAAAAATTCGCAAAATATTGTAGCTTAGAGTTTATATTCAGCTATTCATTGCTACTTCAATTATTATACTTAGAAACTTTTTCGTAAAATAAGATTTTCAGTTGATATTAATTAATAACATACCAAAACTTGGAAAAGTAACATATTTTTGGGGGGAAGAAACTTAAAATTCAAAGAGCTATATCACAATAAGTATAGCTCTAGTTGCAAGCTTCATATTGGTTTCAAATTGTTGATAGTTTTGTTTAGTAAAATAGTGCAATTTACATATTGTATGTAGTACCAATACTTTGGGAGATATTTGGGGGGGAAAAAATTGAAATATTTAGTGTTTTTTTTCTGAATTTTTCTCTAAACAGCTTTTTTTTTTTTTTNTTTTTTTTTTTTTTTTTTTTGTGCCTCATTAGGATAATTTCCTTTCATTGTATAGGTATGTTTTAAGATACAGAATTATGTTTACAATATTGAAATAAAATATGTTTTTGAAAATAGTGTTTTAAAATCGTGAATTAATAAGCTTTAATTGTCATAAATATTCTTTGCAGGTAAAAAAAATGCTCAATAACTGCACTAAAAGATATCTGTGTATAAAGAAAAGAATCCATTGAAAGATTTTAAAAATGTCCTCTCAAAAGTTCTGTAATTTAATGGGTACCAAAGATAATATAATTTTTGATACACCTCTAAGATTATGTAATGATGTTAATTGACATTTATTAACACAGCAATATATTTGCAATACATGTTAAAACTTTAAAAAATAATGAAAAACGTAAGCCTTCTCACATTAAAATGCTTCAAAAAATTTTAAATCAATGTTTTCTGTTCTTTTAAAAAAATAACTTGATTTAAAATATTTAAACGATGAAACCTGTTTTTAATTAGGGATCTTAACTAACTTTCTAATGCATGTATTTAATAAAAAGGTATATATAAAAGGAAAGAAATAGCTTGTTTTATTTTTTTACTCTCTCAAAATTATTATGAATTTCAGATATAAAGTCTTATAGATATTATTTGAGTTTAATATGTAGTATTAATTATAGTTTTTTATTTTCAGTTATGTATTATCTTTAAAATACATTGAATATTTATATTATACTTTCAATTTTATGCTGAGAAAAAACTTACTTCGTTTTTTTTTTTTTTTTAAATTAAATATGTGTTAGTAAAAATTTAGTTAGATTTTTTTTTGTTAATAATATCTTTATATATTAAGTGCAAAATAATTACATTCAGAGTTATTTAAGTTTTAACTATTATAATTTTTTGACTGATTCATTTTTGGATGGTGTAAAACAGTAAATTTCATGTTTCTTGTCCAATTCTGAGTGAAACCAAGGCATAGGTTTTTAAAGTTCTTAATGTAAAGTTTGTGAGTTGTGTCAATTTTTTAATTGGAAGCCGTTTAAAAACTTAACCCTCAGACACGCATAAAAAATTCCATGTAAACCTGTAGTCTTTTCTTCATTGCAAAACTAATTTTATCTTGCTATTTGTTAAGGAAGCGCTATATATGCTTCTTCTTCCCCAAATTGATTATTTGCTTAAAATAACATTAATGTGCATCAATTAGTAAATTCAAAATTTATGTTAAGTCTGCAAATTTGTAAGTTGATTTGAAAAGTCAATTTACTTCCAACAATTGGGCGATGCGTCAAATTATTATTTAGATTTTCATCATATTTGTGTTTGAGGCATAAAGAATTTTAGCCCACACTGACATGACTAATTTTACTTTATTTGTTTATTTATTTTACATTAAGGATCTATTTCTTAGATTTTAGCGAACATTTTTCTCCCGTTGTTTAGAATTTTATGAATCAAATGTCTTAACCACTTAATTTTAATTCTATTACATTTTGAAATTAAATTTTATTTTCGTCAGCCATTAAGGCAGAGCGGGTGTGATTGCTCTTGTTTTCCAGTGGCGCCATCTTTGGTCAAGAATTTGACTTCTGCCGCACTCATACGTCACACCCGTTTATAGGGCGGACCCATTCATACAT